ATGAAAAAATAACAGTTACTATCTGACATTTCAGATGATGAACTCTGATGTCAAGTGATGAACAGAACGTCAGAAGGCAAAAGGCAAAAAATATGGTGACCAAAAAAAATATAAATTTCCAAGCTTAAACAAGACTGACAACACTTAAGCCTGTTACATAAATATGTCGAAAAATATGGTGCTTACTTTTGGCGTTTTGATGTGATCCATAGTGTTCAAAAACACAGAGGAATCAAGATACAGAAAAATTGAATAATTTATTCGCCAATTTCCGCCATGACACCTCCTCCCGGAAATAGTTTTTTAACGCACTTAATGACGAACTACGGTCTCCGGTCTTCGACGGTATCCGGAATCCTGGTGCCGTCGGAACATAATTATACATGTTTATTACTGGACCAGTTGTTTTTAACTATTATTAAGCAATTCAAGAAATACGTTAATGAATTATGAAATAAGTGTTAATATGAAAACAAGGTTCCGTGAAAAAATAGGACGTCAAACGTTCACGCAGTAATCACCCCTTCATTCTCCGGGTAAATTTAAGTCTACTCACAATATTAATTAGAAGTCGCAAATTTAGTAAATTACTTTACTGATCAAGGGATGCACGTGATGTCGGCAAAAGTAATATTTACAAAAGCAACAAAACATAACAAAAACCAATTAAAAAACAACCCTGTGACCTTGACCTAGTGACCCCAAAATCAATAGAGGTCATCTAATAGTTATGACATATCAATATTAGAAATATGAAGACTTTGTGATAAAAAGCTTTCAAGATAATAAACGGAAACCATACTCACATTCAATAACCCTGTGACCTTTGACCTAGTGACCCCAAAATCAATAGGAGTCACTTACTAGTTATGACCAATCAGTATGTGAAGACTTTGTGATAAAAAGTTTTCAAGATAATAAGCGAATATAATTCTGACATCTAATGCCCATGTGACCGTGACCTTTGACCTAATGACCCCAAAAGCAAATAAAGGTCATCTGCTTGTTATGACCAATCACTATGTGAAATATGAAGACTTTGTGATAATTATCTTTCAAGATAATGAGCTGTAATCATACTACCATTCAAGGACCCTGTGACATTGACATTTGACCTGGTGACCCTAAAATCAATAGGGTTCATCTATTAATTATGACCAATCAATATGTGAAATATAAAGACTTTGTGATCAATAGTAAAAAGGGTAATAAGCGGAAATCATATTACCATTCAAGGCCCCTGTGATCTTGACCTTAGACCTAGTGACCTCAAAATCAATAGGGGTCAACTACTAGTTATGACCAATCACTATGTGAAATATGAAGACTTTGTGGTAAATACTTTTCAAGATAATCAGCGAAAACCATTCTGACATTTAAGGCCCCTTTGACCTTGACCTTCGACCTTGTGACCAAAAAATTAATAGGGGTCATCTACTAGTTATGACCAATCACTATATGAAATATGAAGACCTTGTGATAAATAGTTTCCAAGATAGTTTCCAAGATAATCAGCGGAAACCATGTGGTCTACCGACGGACAGACGGACAGACCGACCGACATTAGCAAAACAATGTACCCCCTCTTCGAAGGGGGACATAAAAAAGAAAAAAAAAAGATTATTAGATATTTTCAAAATGTTTTTAAAACATCGTGCTTTTTTCCTATAAAACAACAAAAGAAAGTTATATTCTTGATCAAAAAACTAAAACAAAAAAATGTATCGATTTCATATCTACATTTGCAGAAGATGTATTGATACAATAAATCTTCTGCCTACATGTATGTAAGGACTGCATACCGAGGACAATAACAACCATAGGCAACAAAAAAGTGGTAGCCTAAGAATATTCACAGATAAATTGAAAATAGCAACTGTCCTATCTCTTCACAAAGTTGGATTCAATCGAACACAGCTAATTAATAATCGGCCGTTATCATTTCTTCAAATTAATGAAAAAATATTTGAAATGCAAGTCAGTTTAACAATTTTTTTAAAAATTATAATCTCAGAAATAAATACCTGACTGGTTTCTGTAGATATCAGTCCTGTCAAACCAAACGGTATTGGTTCCTGGCCTCGAGCTTTTTTCCTCAGCTCTGTCACGAATTGCAAGATTTTCATTGGTCAATGCATTATGTACTAGTTTCGGACCAACTAAATACTTGAGATCTGAGTTTGTGCATAGAAAAAATCTTAATGATCTTTGACCCAGGCTTATGAATATTTATAATAAGATTAAGTGAATTTGGCTTCTTGACGTCTTTTTTACCTAATTATTAAGTACTCAAATTCTATTTTTCGAAATAGTAAGCTTTAACGCGTTAATTGTTTCCATCAAATATTTTAAAAGTTTAAAAAAAAAATTAGAATCACTTGCAAGTTTTAAAATATCTTCAACCGCCACATTTTACAAAAATCTCAATCAGATCTATTCTTATATATTGCAGGTGGCCATTTAATTTCGGGTCGACAGACGGCAATTCAAAGAGAGATCGCAACAATGCGGTATGACGCTCAAAATTGCAAAACGAAACTGAACATAACCAAATGACAGTGCCATCTTTTCGTTCTGTATTGTCAAGCTGAATCACATTGTCGAGCGTCAGTGAGCAATATGTTATTTGAAGGCATAGTCTGCATGCTAAACATGCAACGCTACTCTGACATAAAGATAGTCCTCCTTTCAAGTTCTACATACCCTCATTTACATTACATTACTATGCTAAGTGACAATTTTGCCAATATTTTCATAATGGACGGTCAGTATCAACTAACAATAACAGTTTCAACTGACCGTTTTGGACAAATAAAGATGAATAAACATGCTGCACGAGGTATTTGTTTGTAAAATAGATTATAATGAAATGATTTTAGCAAGATGAATTGTTTGTTTTTATTTTTTTATACTTGTCAAAATATTTAATACTTGATGCATTAAAAATTTCCTGGAAGGAAGAGATTTTATACAGAAGACATATTTTACAATTACAGCTTATTTTGTTCCGTGTAGATTTTTATACTTGCTAATTGTTAGGACTTTGATATCTTTCCACAATATTGAGACACCGATCCTCCCATAGTATTTATTATACATGTACAACTTTATTTTGAGACTTTATATAAGAGCAATTAACGTTCTCAATTCAAATTCACTGGCCAATTAAATACAAATGAGAAATAGCAAATCATTTATTACTGATATGTCCAAAAAAGTTGTAAAAAGCATTCGGCACAGATGAGCACCTGCTGTTGAAAAGGACACTTATATAAACTTCTCTTTTGTGAGTGTTGTAAACAAGGGACAATTGAAGGAGCACATTAGGAAATAAAAGCAACAATGAATTTACCAATTTAGGATCGTTTCTGTATAAATTGAGTATTAAAGCAGTACGCCTCCAGATTCATGCTAATTTTCATGAAAAATTTGAAAATGTATTTTAATGTGTAATAATGTAAAGTAACCAAAAGGAACCAATTTACACGTTATCAATGGCACTTACAAATCAGTGCATAACCAAACTGTGGTCAAAATATGCATAAATAGTAGAAATACAGTTGTAAATACTGATAAGACAGTCATTTATTGTACATAATATGTAAAATATTACTTGAATCTTGAAACTTTTTACTTTTCCTTACATCTTAGTACATATTCTCAAGTTTGATCTTATTGAAATATTTTGATTCAGCTGGAGGCAAGTAGCTTTAAAACAATTTTACGTCTCTCTTTCTAACGTACAAAAATACTTGTACAGTAGATGGTTCTAATGCGTTATTTATGAAAAATGGCATGTATAGGAACAATAAAATTGACTGATAGACCTATACATCACAGCTAATTAAAATCTGACAAGAAAATCCGTTCAATAGCTTAACTATATCGCGTGGAATTTAAGGCACACTTCTTGATAAAAATTCATTATTAAGATAAGTATATTGACTAGAGAGATATAAGGGAAAGCATGTTAAACGTAGCTCATCTTCTTATGCGCTTACACAGGTTCACTGAATCAAAGTTTAGAAAAATGTATCATAAAATTGAAAAATGTATAAGTATTCACATAGTAATGAATGGGAGCTGGATTTAGTATTTTTATCATATGTCCACCCTGTTACATACGGAAAAGGGCTAGTTATATATATTTTGAATCATTTTTATTAACTTTATATGGGCTTTAAGTGCATTGTGCTAATTCAGATATCTTTATTTGTTCATTTTACAAAACTTTTATTATTTTACAAGCACTTTCTGTTTTATCCATCAACATTAGTTTAAATCTGGAAGCGTGCTGCTTTAAGGCAAACTCGTTAAAGTTGAATTGCCTCAAACTGGTAATATTCAATTTTTAAGTTAATATCTAAGTTTAAGTCTAAATTCATCGACTATTCGCGTGGCATGCCATATAAAATATTGTAAACATTGTCTTATTATAAAAAGTAAGCATTTAAAACCACATTAAACACACCCATTGTGAAAGTGATACTGACTTTTTAACATTTCTACTTTTAAATCAGAGTCTTGTTTGTTAAGTCGTCTTAAACATTATATTAGCTAAGTTATATTATGGTAGGTGATATAAATAATATGTATACAAGTTGACATAAGAACTATTATTTTTAAGTAAACATTAAGTCTATTAATGGATATAAGTGAATGTCCAGTTGTTGATCTTTTTAAAAGAGTGTGACTGCTATAAACTAATAAATCCACATAACATGTCAAAAATTAAACTTAGATTAAACTTTACATATTAGCAAAAGCTTAAATGAAAAGTGCATGCCTTAATAGCCTACTAATCTTGGAAGAACCTAGTTTTTAATCTATGATTAAGTTCACGTTCATATATTTAAAAAAAATAATTCAAAGAACTATCGGATTATAGATTCAAGATTGAAATCGAACACATGTAAAACTTGTAATGGAATGAATGTTAAATACAAATTTCACCCTAAGTTCTAATTATTCATTATTTGATTTGTTAATTGTTCTTGGAAAAGGAATAAATTACGATGAACCCGGACAATGATATTCAGAAACCACGCTTAGGTTGGAATATTGCTAGTAAAGAAAATGGGAATACCACGCCGAATAAAACAAGTATTGCAAGACAAGGCAGTGCCAGGTGCAGAAGCCCGGCTGTATCAGTCGGTCGAACGTCCACCTGCACCCCTGACGGCAATATCATCAAACGTGCATCCACTTCTAAATCAGGTCGGAAAGAGTCCATAAAAGTCACCTCTGATTTGCAGGGACAGAAAAAGTTGTTGGGTGTTCAAGGCAAACTGCTGCAGTTGAAGTCGCAGACAAGGAAGGAAAGCCTAATGAAGGAGGGTGGAATAAAAACATTAATGGCCGCGCCTTCAGTTATGAATGCATTTAAAAGAAACGTTACGGTAAGTGTGAAAAGTTACTTGTTACTATTATTGAAAGAGTGTGATATTAAACGCCTTTCAGAATACATTGGTTGTCCCGTTTTAACAGAGAAAAGATCAAAATCAGGATCAAACGATTCTAATTTTGTTTCCATTGCTTTATGCAATCTTCATTGATCCTATGACTAAAAACTGCATGGTACAAGTGTGAATTATTAAAAAAAACTTGGTGATTCGTCATGAAACAACTTTATTTTTGCCATTTTTTGGTCATTTGTGGTTACAATATAAATTACAATAATAAATAGGTCAAAATGTAGATCAATTATAGGCTCGAGATCATCATTTGAATCAGCTTTTTCAATGTGTGTGTCTCGTAAAGTAATTATGACCTTTCTTAAAAAGAACTAAACATACTGCAACATCTTAATGGCATTTCAAATCAACTTATGTAAGTCATTATTTTATACTTAAAAAATGGAGTCGACGTCTATAATCAAATCATGCAGATAATGCAAGCAACGCGATTTCTTTCAACGTAAGGTTGATTGATAGAGTAAGATTTTAAACCTTAACCGATATCTCAAAGATGAAAAGTCGCATAATTAAACAATTCAATTTTGTTTTAAGGAGTCTATATCTATAACTATATCAAGTGAAACATAATTATACAAGTAAGGACAATGAATCACTTCTTTCAATCCCTTTAAGCAGTTGAAAAATTAATTAAATATATTAAACTGATTATGTCACTCCCTCAGATCACATTTAAACAAAATTTTGTTTTAGTTTAAATGCTTACCATTAGAAGCAGATTAATGTAGGTTTATGTTGAAAACGATTAAAATGGTTACCCTTTTAAATCATATTTGATTATGTAATTTCATATTGATGTCCCAATCCTAAGGCGAAAGCGGCATATAGATATTTTCATTATGCGTCCTAACGTCCCGAAAATTTACACGGCTCCTTTAGAATAGAAGAAGTCACTCAAACATTTTACAACTGTTTTAATGGAATGAGACAAAGCGGATTTTTGAGAAGTCTTACATCTACACATAAAATATACAAATGTTGGCATTTTTACGTAGTTATTTAATTGCGGGAGGTAAATGACCCAACAATACCAGTTTACATTCATCATTGTTCAATTAAATAATTGCAACGTAATGCCTATAATGCAGCAAAACTGGGCGATACATGATTGTTTTCGTGAAAGACATCTACTATTAATGATTCTACAGAGCGCTAAAAATGCTCACTGAATGCAACATAAAAAGAAATTACGCTGAATAGTTTAAATACGAAGTAAACCTTAAAATGATTCGGCAAATAACTCGTCAATGGCCTTTGGCGTAATAATAAGTTTTAATCCAAAGCGATACATCTTATAGGAAAAGATATAGATATAAGATATAAAAATCTCTTTAATGACCCGACGTTTCACAGAATAAGTGCCAGGAGGGTAATACTAGATGAATGCAGGAGATACTTCTCATGTATTATTCTCTTTCATTATCATGAAAGGCGCTATAATAATCTTTCTCCATATTTCCACCATGACGTCATCTATACTTGTTTCCGAGAATGATATATACCGCAGAAATGTGTCTGATCTGCATCGTAACAGGATTAAGGAAATTAAGATAAACTTATTGCAGCAGACGTGCATCTGAATGCTTTCATGTTTGTGGTCGATCATCGTGCATGTTGATGTAATAAATAAAACATACGTTTTGGATTTTAATTAACATTTGTAGTAGCATTATAATACATGAACTCTGAATTTATGTAAGACTGTTCTTGGCACCTTCATATAGTGTATCACTTTTATAACAAATTGAAAGGAGCAGCTTTGAGATACGCAAAGTTTAGGGTTGAGGGAAATTTCTAGCTATTTCGCAATGATATGCAGTCATGGAAATGTATGTATACAATATGAATAATAAATGTATTCTCGGCGAAAGCGAGTATCATGCATTTTATATATAAATGTGTTTTCTCAAAAGTTAAATGACAATATAACATTAGCTAGTTCAAAAGTATTTTCCAGCTAATAATTGTGTTCTTCTCCCTTTAGAAAATGTACATTGTATATAACTTGCATCTATTTGATACAACATATTAAGTAAAATTCCATTATGTTCATGTTTGTTATAAAAACATGTTCCTGTAATTCTGGAAACCGACTGTCTGCACGTACCATTAGTTATATGAAATGTACCAAAGTGTCGATATGAATGAAAAAGCAACGAATAAAATGCATTGTTGAGGAGAGAATAAAAGGAACTAAGTAATTACAAATACAATCACAATTATTATAAATAAGTAAAAATACACCTAACAAGAGTAATACTACAAAACATACTCTTTAATCACCTTTTTAGGTACTTTACACAAAGATTCTTTTCCAAATAGAAAATTGCGTTTTTGGCAATTACCTGGTACAGAAAAAATGATTTCTTAATATTTCGTATGATGTTAAAACACTACATTTTGCTAAATTTATAAAACACTATTTTCTGCTACTTTCTGAAGGTGATAAGTAAGTCACTTATTCTTAATTCATTATTACCTTTTTTACAGAATGTTTAAAATATTGATTTCTGAGGCTTTTTGTGTCTTTAGATCGGGTCAAATAATTTTTGCAGTGTAACTTAGAGACAAAGAACGTAGAGTTCGTGATTCTAAAAACGCTAATATCTCGGTTGCGTGCTATATCATACAATATAGATGTACAAGGTGTGTTATATCACAATTAAAGTCCGTGGTCATATCATTCGATATACTATAACTAAGTATGTTATACAATTTCACATATTACAACAATAGCTGAATTATTATACAATGACACTGCAGTATCATCGCTTTATGAAATATTAAACAGTTCGCATTCAGCACAGTGTTATATGTTATTAGAGTACGCCTCTGTCTGGCTTATTGTTTTGCCTATTAAATTCAGTATATTGATATTCTAAAAGATATCATTGTTTAAATTAAAGATGAAATACAAAAGGCTAACGCAACTAAATCTATACATTTACAGATACATAAAGATATTTATTGTTTTTGATCGCGTATCGATTATGTCCTTTGTCGAAAAACAGCAAATGATACAATGATCTTAAATAATAATGAGATGTATTTTTGAATTAAAGTTAAATTATGCCCAAATGATTTTTAGGTCTATACTGCCGCAAATTCCGCAATAAACAATGAACAGAATGATTCCATTATCTGTATATAGTAGATGAGTATTTGCAACAAGGAATTAAGGTGGATGTTTTGACTTGAGGACTTTAGGATACCAATTAGTATCTACTAAATCTTTGTTTAAATTAATACTGTGCATCTTAGTTCTAGAAATGTTAAAACATAAAAGAAGGATTTAAAAATATATAAAAATAAAGTAATCGGTTAAAGTAAATTAATAAGTTTCTATAGTTATAAGAATGTGATGTTTTATTTTATATTACGAAATAACATATCAAGTAATAATTCTAAACGGATTCAGTGAGTAGGAAACTATCATTACAATTTATTTTCCAATAAAGTAAAAATTATCTACTGAAATTCACGATGCATTTAAAAGCACCGGCCTTAAAAGTTGATATATTACACTTTGAATGATGACATTTCTTCCACTAAAATGGTTTTCATATTAAGTAATTTGAGATTTTACGATCTATTTTAGGGATTATTGTTTTTTTTTGGCTGTGACTTAATTCTTCCAAATATCATAGCGTTAATATATATGTAAGAACTTTGTGACGGAGTTTCTAAAACCTTTAATTCGATATGTACTTGACCCAGTGACATATAGAATAATGATCACATGTGCATATACATGTACAATACTTTTTTTAAACGTGATGGCGATTTGTCCAAAATATTTTTTTTTCACTTTCACATGAAATAATCCTGCCTTTAACACCATACAAGTAGAAGATTATCAACTTTTGGCAACTTGAAATATCATTATTAGTAAGGTTACAAAATGAAATACCATTTTCAGGGCAAACTGCCTAAAACAGACCCGTAAAAGGCCGGTGAACAAAAAAAGTAATCTACCGAAAATAAGAAAAGCTAATTAGATTATAATAGGTCAGATATTTGCAGTTATTCATATATGAATATAGTGTTAAGTGACTGATGTTAAAGTATGGATTATAGATAAGTTTGTTAAAGAATGAATCAAAGTTAAAGACTTATGTCTGATTCATTTATTTCATTTATAGAGGTGCTCTGTTAAGGACAAAGCAATACACAATAAGTATACTTTATTATTTCAAAAATAACTACAAAGATTTATCGTATAGATTTATGCAATAAATAAATCGTTAAATATTGTTTGAATGTACCCCATGGTACTGGCACTTAAATTTATCACCTTCTGCAATATATAGGAAAAAACTATAAATGAATGAATGAATGAATGAATGAATGAATGAATGAATGATAGCTTTCGTTTTACAAATAATTTACTTGAAATCTGATGAACTTCATTTATTTATTTGAAATGAATAAATAAATAAATTAATGAATGATGTGTGAACGTATGAGTGATCATAACGTGGATAAATAAATGAATGAGAGCAGAAAGAACTTTTGTTTTACAATGGTTGTATCATATATTATATATACATGATGAATTTACGTTGTTAACTAAATGTATCTTCATACGTTCACAGTAACATGGTAGTGGGAATTAAATTTCTTATCACAATAAATACACTGATATTTAATATACTGGTCAGTAGATTGGGGTGTAAATTAAATTTATTATCAATGTCTGAAAGTATGTATCAAAGTTAAAGCGTCAAAGTTTACTTTTCATTCTCTTTAAGGTAGAACCCCCATTCAATGTTTACCTGTTGCAAAGAAAGGGAAATAATTTCTTAGTTATAAATGAAGTGTTTATGTAACAGATTCCTGTAAACAGGATTTTGTAACAGTATTTTCATTTTCTCAAAGAATTATCATTATTTTAATTATATAGAATGTAGACGTTTCCAGCAGTGCAATTATTCAATAATGTGTATGAATATTAAATAAGAAAGATGGGTATATAATTGAGGTATGACAAATTGCGAGCGGTCACTTCTTGAATATATTCCGTAAACAACAACAACAACCAAACGTTTGAACAATTTGGATAACAAACTATAATTCAATGAATATAGAAACAAGTTAACTCAGTTGATGTAATCTAACTGATGTAAAAGAATAGTGATTGAATATCGAATTATGTCGATCAGGATTACTAGCACTGTCGATTTTTTCGACGATGATGAGGAAGTTCAACCGGAAGTGGAAGAAATTTCGCAACCCGATGTTGAAGATGAAGAACCGATCGACGAGAAGGTAAAACGTTTATAGCTCAGTGACGAATAGATACTTAAATAAAATAGACAAAAATCCCAGAATCAAATAGGAACAAGAAAGCAAAAACGAAAGAGGATTGAAACGCCATATTGCATTTCTAAATTCATCAAAAAAAAACAAAGAAAAAAAAAACAATAAAAAATACGCATGCCTATAGCCGACCATGTGGTGGACCTTGCAACAACTCTTCTTTGGAAAAGATACATTTAGTATCATTTAATAACAATATCCCCGTACAATTTATGATAAGTAAGCTATGTAAAGCCGGCAGGAATTTGCGGATAGTCTATTCGTCTATTCTCCCCTTCAACATGTACAGTTTGTTTAAATATGAATGACAGAGCATTTCCATTTTCTTTTTCAATGTCTGAGATGAAGAACGATTTCATCTTGGCTGTGCAACATCAATGAAACGTTTGTCTGAAAAAAATATTATAAATGATCATCAATAATTGCAAATATATGTGAATAAATCACTTTATAATGCACATTGCATCACGGCGTTATTCCTATAAACATGATAATTCCGCTTATAATGCTTTGAATTTGTTTGCACGGACAAATGATATGAAATGGCAATGTATAAAATCCAACATTCAAAGATATAAACTAATATATTCTAAAACAACATATAGAATCCAACTTTCAAAGCTATAAACTAATATAGCAATTTCAAAACATGATAGCAAGTTAGCAAGTTAAAAGTCGAAAATTAAAAAAACCCAACAAATTTATCACACATACTAGTACATGTGTGTTGATAATTATTTGTGTTATGTTTCTAAACTAAAAAAAAAACACTGCTTCAATTTCTATGCCACCAATTTTGTAAGATTGCCGTTCAAAGTTATAGGTTATAGTATTTAGTTTTGCAACATAAAGATCACGACGATTTTAAATCAGTGAGATTTTCCATTATGCTTGCAAATATTTTAGTTTCAACACAACCGATTATTAAAAGCGGCCTTTTCACATTTTGAAATGTTCATTTAAGCAAATAATTATATACTTTGTACGTAGTAAATGGTCGCGACAAAATTATAATGCAAACGTAATAATAAATATAGACTACAAATAATATTTCATTGTACATTTTTCATTTATCATTTTTAATGCCAATGACATTGTGCAAGCAGCGTTTGTATAAGGTTATAGACGTTGTATTCTCAGGTTTTTGTTACTTTATAAATGAAAAATATTGACTACATAGGATATATCAGAGCATCTTTGTCATAGACTATTTACTTAAGAGACAGATCTTATATAGAAAATAGGCATTATATCGTTGCTCCTTTACGTTTTTGATTGAAAATGTCAACATGAATATAACGTGAATTGAGGTTGTACATTATTGTGTTAGTAACAAAGGCTCTTTATAAACGTCATCCGCCTCTACACCACGTTGTCAACTTCTATATTATATTTTTACAAAGCGGGGTTTCTTAAAATGGCAAAGTTCTTTTCTAGAGCTGTTATTTTTTCCGGCATATTCAAAACGGAGAGGTTGTTTATATTGATTTAATATCAACACTCAGAAAAAACTTATTAATTTACTGTCGTGACTAGTGTTGTTTAAATATTAATATTAATAATTTGCCGTCGGTTCTATCATTACCGTCGGCTGTAAAAAATAACGGTTAAAACTGTTTTAATGTTTTTTTAAAGAATAATCTATATTGCATTAAGAGGACTAGATAAAATATATGTCTGAAAATTCTAGCACAATTTTGGTGGATGATAACGGATTGATTGATATTACCGAGGTAATTTTAAGACTAACTTTTTTTTATCACTAAGAACACCCTATATATTTATAATGATGTTACAGAAAGTTGCCATCACACCTTCGTGATATAACAATGTGTTGGGATAAGACACATTATAAATTAGCCATTGTATGCTCAATGCTACATTAAGCATATCATTTGTATATGTATCTTTAAAGTTGAATTATGCCAATAGTGTTTCTGTTGTAATCATTACATTATTATCAAAGGCTATATAAACCATCTTATAGTGTGTTTGAAAAAACAATCATTAAAATGATTTAATGTAATTGATGGATTTGTTGTTGGTTCTAAGTATAATTTAGAATCTTAATACGTTCCTATTAATACACAACTGGAAAAAACAAACTTTTCAGACGATTTCTGTTGAAAGTTTGACTATTATTATGATTATATACATTTAACCATTATTAAAACGCTATTAAATAAGCTGAAACCTTCTACATCTAGATAATGATTAATATATGCAGATATACAGAGGTTTGTACATATCATTTGTTGAAGGTAACCTTATAGGATTGTTTCTATTTATTCAATTTTTATATATTTTTTTCGTTTCAGCCTTTCACAAGATTTCGGCGGGTAGCAAGGGCGGTCAAATTACTTATACAAGTTTGCCATGTCTGCAAAAGGTAACGGTCTATATCTTTAGATGTCGTTTTTTTCCAAATTGGGTGAAATTAAAAACTTAATTGCTAGCACACTGCGCATATCTGAAATCTGAGCATAGATTTTTTTAGTACTTTCATATAAACATGTAATCTTTTAATTGTATAATGGACTAACTAAATGTTTAACGGTTCAAATTTACATTCGGGGAACATTTTTTATTATTTTGTAAATGTTGCACATGTACGTATTTCATCTGAAAATTTGAAAGAAATTAATGTTTCTAACAAAAGGAAAGCTGAAGATTAAAATGTACGAATCGATACAGTGACCTTTCTTTTCGATATAAGGCTGTCTTCATTTTTGCAAATAATATTGAATACGTCAATTGAAGAACAAGTTTGTATTTAAGGTGGAATATTTTAGTAATACTAGTATATCGTTTACTCCAGGATTACTTCTGTATCTTAGATTAGAAATCAAATTCTAGCATTTTTATAAAAATTAATTGAAATAGAAATATGATGGATTGGCAGGTTCTTACTTGGGTCACTTAACTCCTGCACATACATGTATACTTGCTGTGTGGTTACAAATATTACAAAGATTTATTAACTAAAATTCATTCAATAAAATTAAAAGAAGGTCAACCAATTTAAACTAAGTCAACAAAACAAAACAAAACTAAAGAAAAGCCATGCATGTCTAACCATATCTGTTTCTTTTGGTGGTTGTTACACGTGCTTGTGGTGATAATAACTTGCTATTGTCTAAAGTATATGGCGTTTAACATCAGCATGTTCGTCTGTAAAATTTAAAGAAAACAACAACAGTGATAATAGTACGTAATTTAAGACTTGTTATTTCAGTTTGTTGGAAGATTCTGTGTCGCAGGAGGCGTGGTTTGCCCTTGTAGATAATATCGCTGCGGCAGCTGCACTCACATCGGATAAAAAGAAGGGGAGAGCATTTGTGACATATGTACCAAACGAGAATAGAGAACTTGAACAACTTTGTTTTGACGTTGCTGAATATATGAGGCACAAGAAAGCAGAGGTATTTTTATACGTTATTTGATAATAACATAAATATGCCAGTCGTTCCCTATTTCTATTTTTCTATATTTTTTTACCCTTGTGCTTTATATGTCCGATGGAAAAGTCATACGATATAATTGCCCTGACAAACTTCGAGTTGGACGCATTCACCATTAAACTTGCACCAATACAAACCCAATGATTTGATCAGACAATGCAGGGACATGGGAGGTAAAAATTCCCCTGCAAATTCCTAAATTGCCATTGGATCAGCGGGGACCGAGGTCAACACGGGCTTATGCACAAAAGGAATGTTTTTGTATTTTCAAGGAACAAAAATAATGATTTTATATTCAGTAATTTTATGATACCTGGATATACTATATAATAATAAATGACTGTTTTTTTCTACCAGGATTATCTGACAGATGAAATAAGAGGCATCATGAGACAGAGACCGGGAACCAGAACAGATGATCAAATTGTGGAAGTAAGTCAAAATTGTTGGGTTTTTGTGTACTGTACATAAGTTGATATAATTTGGTTAACTTGTTGGTATAATGTTACAGAGATCGTTTTTAAGTAACAGACGACAACGCCGGTATCAGTCATTGCTTTAGATATCAGATTGTTAACTGATTTTCAGACTTCAAACTGTAGTCTTTTTCCAAAACATCTTAAATATATCCATGTTTTCTTACACTGACAATGCGTTTTCATTGATATCTTAATTGGTAAAGAGCGTATGTCGTCGACAACAGTCTATCTTTATCGCATTTTAGAGGTGAAATTCCTAAAGTATTCCTAAAGTATCAACGGGTTTCTAATATCGCGATATTCAGTGAGTAATATAGTACAAATATGATATTATCTCAGTATATCGTGATTGGTATACTAATATCGCGATATTCAGACGATTACAGCTATTATATTGATGTAAAATGAAAATAATATTTAAACATTGCAACTTTCGCAATTACAAATTATTTAGAATTCTTGGCACAATCATGGGCAATGCCAGTCTACAAAAATCGTGATATATTTAGGTAAAACGCATGTATCTATATAGCAATATTATTATGTAAGCTTTTCTGTTTTAATATATAATATAAAATTATACTATTTTATCTTATATTAAATTCTAAATGATTTATTTTATTTCAGGTAGTTCGCTGTATGAAAAACATCAGTAAAGCATTCAACGAGTACCCACTTGCTATACAAAAACAAATTTGCCAAAGAGCATTTTATGACCAGTATGTATTAACCATTATTATATAAGATTTGTAAACTATTACCTTTTATTTAGACATCATGATTTTTCATTTGTTATACTTATAATGTGTCAAAAATGGCCTTTGAATCAAGCAATATTTTACCCTTTTAAATGTACTATGTGAATTTAGTACTTTAGTACTTTTTTACTATGTAAATTTCATATCAATTAAACCACTTTTAAAAAAAGCTAATCATGTTCACCACCATCGTGACAGTTATTCTAGTTAACTTTAAATATCAATATTTCATCTGAGCGATAAATATACCATTTTCAGGATTTCTTTAGTTAACTGATTATATAGTGACGCTTGATAATTTGACCGCTTAATACGCCACGGCACTTCGTTCACCCTTGTTTTTGTCCAATAGCTTGACTACATACAATTTTTACACATACGTTTGAAAATGTTGGCGTTTGAAAATGTTGGAAAATTATTGTTGGAATCATCTTTTACACTGTTGACAAGAGTTTTCTCTTTACATCTATATACCTTGTGTAAAAAAGCGACGGCCTTTAAGCGTGTAATTTTCGCATCTAAAGGAACATTGTCCATACCAAAATCATAATTTGAATTGAATTATTTTTAACTTTTATTAAAAAAAAAAGAATTTCGGGATAATGTGTTTAAAGAGGAAAAGCATAACATAAACAGGAAAGATAACTTTCAAGATTTTTAAAAGTTTAGAATAAACAATCAGTTTTATCTCCCTTTAACATTAATGTTTTATTTTAGGTATCGGCGGAATCGTGTAATTCTCCGTCGGGGTTTGGCTCCTGATGGCATATACTTCCTGTTATCTGGAGAACGTAAGTGGTATTCTGATTGTAGTCTTTCTGGACAGTTACAAAATAAAAAGCGAGAGAAACAGAGTAAGACCGCATCAACAAAATTCAATTTTATCAAGAACACATAAGAATTGATTTGTGCATTCATTCTTATTGATATCCTTAAAAGAAAACAATAAAATTAACAAAAGAATCAATTATCATGCGGCTTAGAGCCGACCAAGTTGAACGTTACGGGGCCAAAGATTGTCAGGCCGAACCTTAACATTGAGAGATAAATGACAATTTAATGTCCGCTTACCTTGGATGTCTAATTAATCAATGTAATCATTACATCAGATCATGTTATATGTTATTAGTTCAGCTACAAAGGCCGTTCATTAGACGGCAATGTATTTATATCAAATAAATGTCCGGTGTTAGTTTTTGTCCTATTTTAGCTCACTGGAACCTTTCAGGATAGATTATTAAGAAGATGATTTACTTGTCAAATTTGCTTCAAATTTACTGTAATTCCTCGTGCTACAGTTTGCTAATATTACACTTAGTGTCACTTAAATGGTGACCAGAATTAAATATGATAACATTAATACAGAAAATCACTGAACATCTTTATATGTAATCACCAAACTTTGTTCCAAGCCTTCTTACAAGAAACCAGATGCTTTTGTCTTTGCTAAATACACTTTGTCAGTTCCCTTTAAGGGTCCCCAGAGCTATAAATAGAAAAAAAACAACAACTTACATGGCTCATCACTAGACTTTGTCTTATGTGTATCACCATGCCAGATAAGGCCATTCTTGCTTAAATAATTCAATTGCACCCTGATTTTTTATGTTTGGACGGATTGTAACAAGACTTTTTTAATACTATATAAAATTATTCATGAATTATTTTCCATCTACATGTACTATAGTGAGCGATGTATAGACCTTTAATAACACTCTTGTTATTTTTGAATATTCGCGACGAACACACACATATTCAGATGTACAATTCTATATATATTTACCATTTATATCATGAAAACTATATAGAAAAAAAGAGAATCATTCTACTGCTTCGTGAACAATAACAGTTGATTTATTTAAACGGTGCGCACCAAATGATACATTAAAGGGACTCAACTATGGTTATTGACATGATCTGAAAATATTTTTTTCGAAATGTGTTTTACAGTTTGAAGGCGGTCTTGACCAACAGCTTTGGTACAAATTTTTAAATCATTTGTTCTCTTCCAGAATGATCATTCTAATTGTGCAAAACTTCCTAAAATGAAAACCATTTAAAATAGATGTTAACTGAAATTGAGCTAAGAATCGCACAAAAAATCAATTTTGATTTTAATTGTGAATATATTTTAAATTTTATAAATTATCCTTTGCATATTTTTTTTTATTTAAAGTGCCCGAGTTGATCTATTTAGAAATTTCAAATTTTATGTTCAAGTCTTTTGGATCTCAGTAGAGCTCCTTTAAAATCCAAAGTGTCTAAATAAATAGGACCTCGGGAGTGCTACTATACAACCCCTCGTATAGAGATTTATCAAGCAAAGACGTTCGAATATCAAACGATCAGCTAAACTTGAAATAATAAAAAAACATAATCATGCTTAGAATAACGGAGACAGACGGTGGTTGCTATGACAAAATAATAGTTTTTTGGCATTATTATGTCATTAGCAAGCACTTCAATGCGACTTAGATGAATGCCGTAACTCCCGCATTGTTTTGATGTTTTAACCTTTGGTTTTTATCAAAGTGTACTTTACGTTTTGTCCGGGCAAATACAAAGTCATCAGTTATTTATAACAGATTAACGGAAAGATAAATCACCCGTAAGCGGATCGATATCAGTTTTTAATTAAAACGGGCTCTCCTTTATAAATACAAAATGTCTAGATTATCTCTTATCAATAAAGTGTCTATCATATGCTAGTTATAGACGTTTGCTTTGAAAACAAATGAAAATTTAAAAAGCGTTTTGTTTTGTCTTTTCGAAGTAAGGGAAGATTTTTTATTATTGTGTTATAAATGTTGATCGTTATTTTTATGATATTTAGTTGTTGAAAAGCCCGAGGGACGGAAACAGCCGGAAGAGATAGAAGCTGGACAAAAATTTGGGGTAGGTACAAATTAATATTGATTTTATGGTTTTGGATTTTTTATTATATTTTTTTGTCTATTAAAAAAACAAAATACATACATACTATTTCTATGTAGGTAATTTAGGATTTTTTTCTCAAACATACATTCAGACTTGTTTATACCAACATATTTAGTACAAAAATGAACTATAACATACTTTGATGGGGTTAATCGACTTTTCACATTTTTTTCTATCATTTATTAAAACAATAATAATATTAATATTTTTTGACATTACTTGCAGCCCTAACAATTGAAATGTACACGTTTGAAAGTCCATTGTCTATTGTAATGCTTTTCTTTACTGGAGTAGAATTAAAAAAGTTTGGCACATGGACCGAACCTAATGATCTTTGGAAACTCAATTTCAAATAAGTAAAAGTGACAGAAATTCAAATGCAATGTATAATGTATTCAATATTACAGTCCTCGACTTTGCCCTTTATAAAGAAACATGCAGACAGCGTGAAATGTTAGCAATCAGACAAATGCTGATGTACGACGTTTAGAAATATGTTCTGTCTTTTCGAAATAAAAAAGTTCCATGTTCAGATTTTGCATCTGCAGTAGTGTGATTTCATTTTCATAAGTTATTGTCTGTGAAAAGTAATTTTATTAGGGGGTTTCCTCTAAGTGTACAATGGTATTCCTAAAAACGTCCTCTGTGACCGAGTGGTTAATGTCATTAACTCTGTGGGTTTGAATCCCGGTTGTAACTTAAGATAAAATCATGCGAGGAAACTACTTGGCTAGTTAACGGAGGGTTAGTGCCCACCCGTACCTGGAAGAAGAAATAAACAAAAAAGACCATCTGAGGGTGTCCTTCCACCAGGAAAAGTCGTCATATAATGGTTAATGAGACTAAATCATAACCAAACGTGCATGCAATTGAGAAAACTTGTTATAACTTAAACTTAAGCAAGGGAATGTTTAAAGTGACATTATGCCCATCCAAGTGTATATAGTGAGTGAACGGGTGAATATCAAAATAAGTTTTCATTTTGCCATAATTCCATTTAATTTAATAATTAAGTTCGCATAAACAATAAATAACGCATAGATCCAAACGAAATTTCTGTAAAGATCCGTATATAACGCTAAGTATATAAAAAGAGTGGGGCAGTCTTTTTAAATTTAAGGCAGATAGATAAATTTATCCTAAGCATTTTCGAATATCAACTGTTGGTCAAACACCATTTTGACAGTCAGTCTTTTGGAATATAAATCAACTTGACTATGAAAATATGAGCATAATATCACTTTAAGTATTATAAAAACCTGTGTGTTTTTATTTCATTTTTTTATTATCTAATAATATATTAGTTTTCTCGGTCTGATCTAGATTATATAAAGGCAAGAGCTAAAACTCTTTGTTCACTTTGTGAAAATCTTGTTGTACGTATTGTAAGACGGTGTAGATTAACAATAGCGCGAGAACAATATTGCATAAATTTATAGAAACCCGTCTAAATAGAATATTAACGTGTGGAAAATATCGGAGATGAAATATAAAAGTGATTGAATCGATCTGATAAGGCACGTCATTTAGTAGTTTGTTTATAACATGAAATTTGCAATCATAGCGCGCGTAACCTTCTAGTATTTTGGAATAAACAACAACAAATAGTGTGTTCATTTTTTGGAGATTTAAAAGGTAACGTTATAAAAACATAAAAAATAAAGACTTCGAATGATTGACTATAAATGCATTTATCGTCTGCTAGGTTTTCATTCGCGTCCGTTTGTGCGTCCATCGAATCCGGATTTAGTACCAATTAAGAGTACCGCTTTGAATATATCGAATCAGAAGTCTAGATGGGTAAAAACAGCGAAATCATTAGTTTAAGTTTAAATTTCAAATTAAATGAATGACAAATAGGTCATTGAAATTAACTTGAATGTATTTACTGAAATACCCGACTGCCTTTTCAGTAGTTTTTGTACGTATTCATAATAATATGGCATTGATGTGTTTATTTATGTTTGATAGGAAGAAGACCTCATTTGTGGGTCATCTAGAAGAGCTACCGTGCTTTCCAAAGACGAAGTAGAGATACTATATCTCCATAGATTTGTAAGTAACGATATTGTGCTTTTTTAGATTTGAAAGTGAGACAGTATATCGCCATAGATTTGTAAGTAGATATACTATACCTCCATTGATTTGTTAGTAGAGATGGTATACCTTCATAGACTTTTTTTTATAAGAGATACTATAGTTATGTAAGTAGAGATATCATATCACCATAGATTTGTAGTGGAAGTTTACCCGCATAGATTTTTAGAAACAGTATACCGCCATAGATTTGTAGAGACAGTATATCACCATAGATTTGTAGAGACAGCATAACACCATAGATTTGTAGAGACAGTAAAACACCATAGATTTGTAGAGGCGGTGTAACTCCATAGATTTGTTGGGGTAGTGTAACTCCATAGATTTGTAGAGACAGTATACCTTCATAGGTTTGTATATACAGTTTATTTTTCCAACATAGTCACTTTAAAGGAACAAATGATAATAAATGCAACATATATATATGTTTAAATTATTTTATCTATGGTTATATTAGTTATATAGTCTACCTCCAAATTTTTGTTAGAAGAGATTTTTAACGTCCATAGATTTGTCAATAGGCTTTTATGCCCCCATGGATTTGTAGAGAAATTACATGTATATCCCGTACATTTGTAGAGACAGAATACCTCCAAAACGGTGTATGGAGGGTATTATACATCCATAAATACTGTAACCTCCATTGATTGCTTGTAGCACAGACTTTGTTCGTAAAGATAGTGTACTGCCATAGCTAGATTTGTAACCCCCGTAAATTGCGAACATGTGGAAACTAGTTGGGTATATTCCTTAATAATAGAAAAGAAATAGGTTTATTTTCTCCGGCGGGATGTGAATCTTCAAGATTGGTATACTGTAAAAGTTAGGCCGCCGATGTCCTGTATACACCCAAGTTTTAGCAGTCGTACTGTACTTTTAACTCCGTTATTTGATTGAGTATCGTTGTCAGTTTTAATTGAAATCCTGGCTTGACAGTGATCAAATATTTATATTTCCTCCAAATAATCAATGTTTAGTAAAAGATAGAGTATTTGAGTAAAGACAGATAATTAAATGTTGATAGGATTTGTAAATACACTTGCGATAATCACAATGGTTTAATATGGACCACAGACGGATTCTACTTGTCTCGTTATTGTTATTAAACAATCATTTATTCTATTTATTGCCTTGTGCGACTTTACAATTCCGTCTAGATCGTTTCCGTTTACTTTGAATGGTACTTGCGATTAACAATGCCTTTATCAAATTAAAAACTAGAGTAGGGAAAAAAATAGAGTAGGTAAAAGGACAAATAATCTTTGATATCAAAGTGCACATTTTTCTATTTATGGAAACCTTGTACCAGTATTATCTCTTATGATACTTTTAAGAATTCATATAACTAGATCCCCCCTCCAAAGGAAATCCAGAGGTATGCTGATGATGGAACTGAAAGTTTAAAGCTTTTGCTACCAGGTTATAGCCAGACCAGCATGCACATCCGTGTAGTCTGACTAGGCTCCATTCTAATGGTAGCTAAATTTGTGTACTTTAGTACTGAATTTCCCTCAAACTTTAAATGGTTTGTGATTAATCCAAAGCCGGACAAATTTATTATATACACAACAAGCATGTTAAGTTCAAACATAATATTACGCCGTATATATGTTGAATTTGCATATTTTTAGTATGTTATATCTGCCCTTTATTTCCATTCCCATCAAATATGGTCTCTAACCAAGCTATTCCGAGTAGATTGATTTTTTAAATAAAAAATCAAAGTGTAATAAAAGAAAATTAATTTTACATTCGATGCATTTTTAACTAACAGCATAGATGAATTAAACTTTCTCTCGCCGAATTTATGTCGGTATATCAAAACATTATAGCTTCTGTCATTTATGACAAATCTATTTCACTTATGAAGACATTTCGAATTTTTAATTAGTTTCAGTTTTATTGCAAGGGAGGGGGTAAGAATCGCAAATAAAATTTATGTATTTATTTTGTGTTTAGAAAGTTATTGAAAAGGTAAAAAGCGATATGTCACGTGACTAACCTATAAATGACATAATAGATAAACAAAATTTAAATTGAACGTTTAATCACCTTTCAGTAAAAGCATTCTGCATATAAAGAAATAAAATGAACATACGAATGAATTATTTGGGATGCTAATATATATTTAAGAAATTTGAAAAGCAAAATTTAATTTGATTTGCAAAGGGAATTTTAATGATGAAAGGTGGATTTTCTTTCAATAGGCCTGAGTGTTGATATCTTAAATATCTAATGTCAACTGTAAAGACTTTTCAAATGCGCATATCATAGCACACTAAAGTAAATCAGCAGACGACAGTTTTTTTTTTTACCAAGAAGATGTGTTAAAATACAAGTCACAGTTCTATGTTCTGGAGAATACGAGGAAATTTGATTTGTTTTGATTTGATATGGTTTATATTCTACTGCTAGGTAAGATATTTACTAAATTCTCGAGCTGGAAAAAAATAACGAAAAATAAATCTTTTACAAATTCTTCTAGGCAAAACTTCTAACTCGCTTTTGTAAACACGTAATTATCACTAATTCTTATAGAACAGTACATCAATAAATTATACATGTTTAATGAATTATAAATATCACTCAATCATTTCTTAACAAATTGCATAACTTAATTTTCAACAAAAAAAACTTCATAACGGTATTCGGTTTAAACTTTAGAAACGAGGAAATGCTTTGATAGTACTTTCCATTTGAAAGACCCTGGATAGTCGTTGTGTTTGTCTTCGTCTCTTATATTTCAGACAATATTTCAATTAAATGAATTTATGTCTGCAAAACTTGGGTATATATTTGCGCATAAAAATAAACGTACGTTTAGAATCAAACAGAAATATGAAGAAAAAATGGTTCATCTGGATCATACTCTCTTTTGATTAAAGTGTCTTAGTTGAACATAGTTGCGTGGTTATCGAAGGTCGGTGGTCCTTTTCAGGTGCCCGCTATAGTGTCTGAAATAATGCATGAAAGAAATATCTGAGGTCTCCCTCCACCAATCAACTGCAAAATCGCCATATAAACTTTTACTTGCGTTTAAGTTAAAACGGATGAAACGCAAATTTGAAACCAAAGTTGTTGTTGCTTGTCACAGTTTTGAGTTATCTGCACTTGTAAGTGACCTAACAGAGCAAGGGGTGAAACTCGCTTTCATGAACAGATAACTTGAAACAAGTAGTAAAAAGACCGCAGGTTTTACATCAATCTGTTTCAATTATAATACTCTTTACTAACGTAAAGTTGAAGATAATTCTGTGAGCTAACCAACAAAATTAAAAAAGGTATTTATAAATAAATAAATAAATAAATAAACAAATACATAAATAAATAAATAAATAAATAAATTAATTAATTACTAAATAAATGAATAAAATAAATAAATAAATAAATAAATAAAAAATAAATGAAAAAAAATAAATAAATAAAAAATAAATGAAAAAATAGCAGCACGATATGTTGTTAGGACTGTGCTTTTTTTCAGTACCTGAAATAATGCAAAAAAAAAATGGTTCCCTATATCTTTGTTATATCGGTAAAGCTGGAATTTGTTATTAACAGTGTTGCATCAGTGTATGTGTGATTTTCAATCCTTATAAATAGATAATCATAGGTACTTTGTAAGTTAGTGTTACCAATTCCAGAAGTACTAGTATGTTACTAGGATTTAAGAAAACTATTTATTAATTTTGACATGGACCCGTTTCAAGTTTAAATTTAATTTTAGAAAATGATGTTTATTTTTCAGCTGATAATGATTTTACATCTCCCTTTATATAAATGTAATGTTTGTAAAAAAAGAGGTACATTCACAAAAGCAAAAAGTTATGGAAGGCTTTCCTGCATATGTTGTACAAGAGATATTTTTTTAAAAATAATTCACAGGCTTTTTAATTACTAGTTTTCATTTAGGATCAAATTTAACTATCTCTTGTCATCGAAACACACTTCTTAATTTAAAAAAATATTTTCAATAATTTATAAATTGTCTTTTATAGGCTGTCTAAATGCGGACGCCGATAATACTTAGTGTTATTTTTGACGCCGATAAAACTTAGTGTTATTTTTTGACGCCGATAAAACTTAGTGTTATTTTTGACGCCGACAAAACTTAGTGTTATTTTTGACACAAACTTAGTGTTAATTTTTGACGCCGATAAAACTTAGTGTTATTTTTGACGCCGATAAAACTTAGTGTTATTTTTTGACGCCGATAAAACTTAGTGTTACTTTTTGACGCCGATAAAACTTAGAGTATTTTTTTCTATCATGATGAAAAGGCACTCTCAGTCCTCCGTATTTTAATTTAATGAAAATTAATGAGATATATAGCATTGGTTGTAAAGTTATTACGTTCAATAGTTGCACTTTATGTTTTATAATATCATATCGTATTAAATGCAAGGCTAAATACATTTTTATATTACGTAATATCATGTTATTGAAAACACAAAAGTTTAAAGAAAACAGATCAATAATTGTCAAGTTTGTATTCAATGTTGTTAAATGATATGACGGAAAATGGTATATACAATACAATAAATGATAGGCCTATCTTTGAGAAATTTGAATAAATAGCTGAATTGTTCGTGCATTATATAACACGTGCCATACAAGTCCCATGTTTATAAATACAACTGTCATGATTGCTTTCTTTTCCTGTAGTTAAATATACTATATAGATTACCCTGATTGTAATTCATGTATGATATATTGCAGGATTACAGAAAGATATTCAATATGTCTGAAGATAACTACGATCCTAAAAATCTGGAAATATGCAAGTAAGTTTTGAAAAAAGGGTACAAAACTACAAAGACATCATTCGCTACAAAAAAGAACATTCTTTCTTTCTTTCTCAACGCCTTATAATAAACAATACTCCTCATCATGTATATGCATCATAAATTGACAATCTTTTTTGATGTTTTATGTTTGTTGATAGTACTGATTCTACACTGAGTTTTGCATTATTTAAACATGAATTTGTTTGACATTGATTTAGTATTCTGATATTGAATAAACGTATTAAATATACAAACAGGGCTGGAATTGTTTCATGTTAATTACGATATGTACATACATGGTTTGATTCCTTGATATTCCACGACAGGAAGTTTGTAAGTTTTTTTGCGCTAAATTTCAGAAACGATGCGGTGTTTCAACATTTCCCAATGCAGAAATTATTAGACAATCCTGGAACTTGGAGTGCACTAAAATACAAGTACGGTTTATATTTTTTACATACAATGTTGGTTTTGATAATATTCATTTTTTGGACGAATTTATGGTTTGAAATATAGGATATCTTTTTTTCTTAATTACCAATGCTTGTCTAATAGTCTTAACATTTCATGTATACTCCTTTATGTTCTTTACAAGTTCTTTACAAAATCATCAGTACATATAAAATTAATTCCCGCCAATTTATCATTGGAGTTTCTACCTCTGTAGGTACACTGATTCATAGAATTTTCAACATCACATTTCTATGCTTACTGTGTACACAATTTGAAATAAATCCAGATTTTCATAAAACAAATGTTAAACAGGTTGCTGCCAACTAACGGTTCCATTATTTTACGACAACGTCCTTTATATTTTGTTTAGGTATGGACGACTTATTGTCAAGGATAGTAACGACATAGAGTGGATATATGTGATCAAGTCGGTACGTATAAACAGCTTATAAAGGGAAGCGGTGGGCTAGGCGTTAAAGTGTCTGCCTCTCAACCCAGATATCATGGGTTCGAGCCATACTCGGGTCACGACCATGTTTCCTCAAACGACACCATTACTGGTTGGTTACAGGAAGCTGACACGAAAGTGATTAATATAAGTTGCAAGAACTTGTTTCGCAATCAAGCTTAAACAAATATGTTTTAACTAAAGGGAAGCTCAAACAAACATCGCAAATATTCCAGTATTAATTTCGTGACGTTTTTAAAGAGAAAACAATGAATCCGTTTGACCACTTATCGAGATCTGAATTCATTTACTTCGCTAGATATTGCAAGGTTGTCTATGAAAATTTGTGTGAGTAGCCATATAATTCTGTGGCTACAATCTCTTAACTTTCTTTCTTTGAGTTTAGCAATTTAATTAGAAAGTTATAAAATTACTGATAAATTACTGTAAATCAGGTTGAACTGAGTGATCAAGCACGGATTATGGGGTAATTTCGGCATCGCAAATTTTGAGATTATTATGTTAATTAATGAAATAATGTATGTAATCTAACAATCAGTGAATGTTTTTGTTGCAGGGAGAGGCACGGGTGTTAAAGCATCTAGAACCGGGAAGAGTTGATGTAAAAGCAAGACGAAAGAAAATACAGCAGCAAATGGAAGAACAATCTACATACCATAAGAAAAAGAAAATTCTAGATTTTATAGCAGACGGGAATGGAAGTTAGTCAATACATGTATTATTTAATTCAAGTTTTTGCTGGCCATCTTAGCACTGTATTCTTGTAAACTTTAATAAATCCTTGATTTATCCTAAAAATGTTACCTTAAGAGAAATTACAATCGGACTCCTAGCATTAAATGACTATTTGTTAACATGTTTAGTTTCTTAGTGTACGTTAGACCGAAATACCCATTATGTTCGATGTCCTTATCCAAAGGCAGAAAATTTGCGATTCGAGAAATTAATACATCTAAAATATTCATTCTCACAGAGCTGTCTTCTTATGCCGTAAATTTTAATTACAGGAAAGTCTTGTTACGCGCCTTCCAACTACACGCCAAGTTCTTTACGACGTAGCACGTTGTCCGACCCTTCCTCTCCTCACAGAAACTGCCACGATGACCATCACGCGGATTTACGGATACGCAGTCTATCTGCGGTCCCACCTCGACAAAAAACCTTTACATCACACGGCAGACGACCTAGTCGCCCAGTGACAGTAAACGCTCCAAGACACGTGGAAGAGGAAAGTGGAACTAAAGATGTAGAAGATAAGGAAAACAAAGATGTTAACATAGTTGTTACAATAAATGATGAAGGTAGAGTATTATGATATCGTTTTATCACAAGTTAAAAAACTTTTCAGGATATGCCTATTTCTTGCCTATGATAAAGCATATTTGCTGACAAAACCTAGGTACAAGACCGATGAACAATGCAGTCCTATTTTGGATATTTGAATATAGCATTATGTCATGTTTGATTGCAGATGAAGAACAGTTGTCAACAGATAGATCTGAACAAGATATAGGCCTGGACAGTGACCGCAGTTACTCCAAAGCAAGGTATAAACCTTTAATGTACCATTCTTTCATAATAATGAAAATGACGATGACGACGACGATGACGAAGTAGTAATAGTAGTAATCTGTATTAGATATATACTTTGAAAATTGCACGATTTTCACGAAATTCAATGATTTTTATCATGTTTTTTACAGTCGATGGAAGGGAAAGAAAATCGAGGAGGAGGGCATGGCATTACCACCATTTGTACAGGTTGAAACGTTACATCCCGGTCACACATTTGTAAGTATCAGTAATCTTTAAAATATAAAGTTGTCATTTAACTGTAACGCAAAATCAGTTTAGTGTACCGGCGTACCTTAGGATGAATATCAACAATAATAATATAATGACTCACAATATGCTCAATTTTTGTTTCTCCATTTTCACTCCGCTAACGGATCCAGGTGTGTCGGCTTAAGATCAGAGACCTCTATTTTAGAAGGGTTTAGGTCGCTGACTTGTTTCTTAACGCTTTTAAGTTCGAATCTCGCAAGGGCTTTAGTAATTCAACTAGCTTCTGGAGGGTCTATTTGAATACCGACTCGTGCTTGATAATACACGATCAGCCAACAAGTGAAGCTAGATAGTCTTTTTTACATTAACGGTCATTGTGTAACTACAATCCGACAAGGAACTTAGTTCCAAGATGTTGTTCATATTTTTTGTAATATTTAAATCATGAGGCCATTTAGATGGCATTGAAAATAACTTGTGCATCAGGTTTTCAAAATAACTATGATAATGTTCTTGCAGGGTCTACGTTCGTGTTTGGAACATGACGAAAGAGGGCCTTCAGTTAGTTTGGTAAGTCATTAATTGTCATATTTTATGTCAAACATTTTGACAATCTTTCTATGATGCTAAAAGCAATGGCTGCATTTAGGATGTATTTAGTATGTTAATGAAAATTGCCTGATTTGTGTTAACGCGCGCTGCATGTGCAATAGAAAACAGTCAGTTTTGCTTATTCTTTCTTTTTGGCGATATCATGTTGATTTTGTAGTAATGGTTTATGAAAATAACGTCATTTGTCACCCAGTTTTGATTGCGTTTGTATCTTTAACTTTTAATACCGCTCAGAGAAGCGATAATGTTATTGGTATACCTGATTCGTCATTAAAATGGTGGAAAAGTCTAAATGCATGCATGTACATCTAGTAATTTCTGAACACGTGAACGCCCGCGTAAAAAATTGCTGAATGCTTATTATTAAAAATGTTTTATCATTTTATTAACGTTTGATGCGAAAGAATAAAGAACTGTTATGTTCAGAGCCCCGTTTGGTGTCTAAAACGGTGGTCCCACGTAGCTGCATATGCAAAACCAACATAGTGCGTTTGCGACCAGCATGGATCCAGATCAGGGTCCATGCTGTTCGCTATCAGTTTCTCTACTTGTAATAGGGTTGGTAAGCGAACAGCATGGATCCTGATCAGACTGCGCGGAGGCGCAGGCTGGTCTGGATCCATGCTGGTCGCAAACGCACTATGTTGGTTTTGTCGTGACATGGCTCATATTGTTGGTGCTACGTAATTTGAACCTCAATCTTTGCGCTCATATTATAAATTATTAAACATGTGTCTGTATTAGTTTATTCTTAAATGGCTTCAATATGAACAGGTTAGTGGAGACTGTGAGGTGTTGGCAATTAACAAGAAATTCTTCATGAAGCATTGTGATGACGCTCTCATAAGTTTGATAAGGCTCAAGGTAAGTTAATTTGTACTTTAAAACATAGATGTATTTAAAATCAAATTGATAGCTACTTTTTAACTTTACTGGCAGAAAAAAAATCTCAGAAAAAATCTTCTTTGTGCACTATTTCAAGAACGATTGGTCTCCCATATTCTGCATGCATTTAAAATCTAACAAGGCAGCCCCCTATAATGAAACCAAAAGGATTTGAACCAAACTAAAGACACACTTACCAATCCATCTCTTACCCATGTTCCATAAACATTTCTCCATTATTAAATAATCAAACTGAATTGGTTCATAGTACATGTACACTACACATGTCCACAAAAAAGCAAACTTTCATCATAGTTTTAAATTGTTTCTTCAGGCTGCATACTACATACGGAATATTATGTTCTAGTAGCTTTCTAAGGCTTTGTATTTTGCTACGAGCAGCGATGGAAAATTGATACATCCGCCATTCTCATGTATTCCAATGTGTTATTTTACATATTTTCATTGATTTCAGGCTAAACCATTCCCATCTCAGACAGAGCTGGTTGACAGACTGGATGCCAACATGCAATGGGAGGAATTCAAACAAGAAACGCTTAAAGACTTTCTCCGACATAGGGTTCGTGTTACCAGATAATATTCTGGCCAGTGTTATTGTTAATGATAGTTTCTATATATGCTAAAAACTCAGCGACCAAATAGTATGATAATGGGCAAATTATGACAAAAGAACTCTTGTGATTCTGTGAAACTATTAAACGGATCTAAAGTGTTCAATACATTTAAAACAGTGTTTTGGAAGTAGATTTTAATTCTACAACCCAGGTCTACAAATGACTTTATACAGACTTCTAAACATTTTGACGTAATTGTTTCATGGCATTCTTTCAGATATCATTTCTATTTCAAAGACCCTGGTACCGTTAAAGAAGTTTAAACAACTTTGTTCTAGTAACAACAAATGCTCTTGTCATGAAAATCATGTTACTTATGTATGTATGTAAATAAACAAAACTAATATTGCGTTTGTAGTTTTATTTTAAAATAATGTACAAGAGTTTATTTTTATAGAATATAGCAATAATAACTTCTAAACAAACCAGTTTTAAAAGTAATAATTTTCTAGACGTATTTGTTTTGTATGTATTATGAACGGACGAAATTTCATCACATTGTCCGTGTAAGTGTTCATATGTTACCACAGATTGGTAATGTTACCACAGATTGGTAATGTTACCACAGATTGGTAATGTTACCACAGATTGGTAATGTTACCACAGATTGGTAATGTTACCACAGACTGCTGGTAATGTTACCACAGATTGGTAATGTTACCACAGATTGGTAATGTTACCACAGATTGGTAATGTTACCACAGATTGGTAATGTTACCACAGATTGGTAATGTTACCACAGATTGGTAATGTTACCACAGATTGGTAATGTTACCACAGATTGGTAATGTTACCACAGACTGCTGGTAATGTTACCACAGATTGGTAATGTTACCACAGACTGCTTGGTAACATTTGATTATTGCACTACTATATACATTACCTCCAGTTACTTATAGAGGTGGGATAACATGGGGGAATAATGTAACACCAAAGGCTTCAAAACTCATCCTTGCAATGAAATTGCTGCATTCTTCTGAATTCTCTTTGACAGACAAACAACTTAACCAAATTTTGTTTTCTAAATTTCAAAAAAAAAAGAACATTACTTTGATCTTGGCTTTGGCAATCCTTTTGTATCAAAGTATAACATTTGAAAAAATTTTCGATTTTTTTTCTTACGCATGTATGAGATTTTGTAACAAAGACATTGTTTAATAAAACAACAGTGACTTTAACATTGTGAAGCTAAAAACTTATCCATTGTTCAACATAATAAAACAAGAATCCTATCTAACGTTAGTGTTAAACTCCAGCTATATTTAAAGTGTACAAAGCTATATCTTCAAAATATATTGTTTTAGTTCTAAAATAACTCCAATATGACTGTATGAAGGAAACATGTTGATATTTTTTCTTAAAGCAAAGACCCATGCACGAAATCATTGCTGAACGGGTAAAACACTGTTTTAAACTGCAGAATAAAATTTTGTTCTCTACTGTTAACATATAATATTCATGTGCATTAAATAATAGGAAACATTCTATGTTACAATTCTTTTGGGAACTGACAATGAGATTATGGAAACAACTATTTCTACTGTTTTTAAATTTTATAAAAATATTTCAATAGATATAGCTTCATACCCTTTAATGTAAACCGTATTTTGAACAAAAGTGCATTTTCATAATGGCGATATCATCTTAAAATTTGTATAACACACAAAATATCTAGCAATCTAGCAAAACAGCCCATTTTAAACTCCCATACAAAAATAATAATGTAAGACAAAAATTAAAATGCTGACATTAAACTCTGAAATCTTACAGGATCGATCATTTTCTGTGATACTAGGCAATAAAATATTAATGACTTATTTGGCTGGATGTTTATACAAAGTGCATGGGTACAGAATAAATCTATCAACAATGAAATTAACATTTTAGCATACAAAAAAACATGATTAAAGAGTAGTTTTATAAGGAAAATATAAACATAGGTTGAAGTCTTGCTTTAAATGTAAGAATTTAAGCTGCCTTTAATATATTTCACTGAATATTATTATATTCATTATGATAACTTGCTTAAAGACAAGTGTTTTTCTTCAACTCAAAGGCTTACATTAAACATCATTTATTACAAAGGATCATGTACATCCATAAAAAGAATACCCTCTGAATGATTTTTACGTAAAACATTGACTTTGTCATATAGGTAATCAGTTCTGCAGGTGAATTGATACTGAAAGATACTTTTAGGTATCTGCAAATATAATTTCAATATACACTTTATGCAACATTCTAGCCAAGACAAATAAATTAAATCATTATGTTTTCACCTGACATATATATTGATTGAGAGATTAACAACAGCACTGCATGTGGTGTTAAGACTCGTCTGTTAAAAATTCCAACTTAAAATGTTATGTCCCATAACTCCAAACATAAAGCTTTAAGAATAATGCCCCTTGTCTAACAATTGCACATTGTCATGATAACCAAGTATTTTATGTTTCATGTTGATAACTTTTGAAATATTTCAAAAAAAGGGCTACATTCAAGCTTTTGCATGATGGCAACGATGACCACCACACCGCAACAATCACATTAGCTGGACTTTTTCTTGAAACAGACATGGTAAAAATAAGAAAACAAATAGTGTTGGTCTCTCCAACACAGTTTTTGTTTTAAAAAATATTTCTTGGGTACTCTTTGTTTTTATTTTTTGTTTGACTGCACACCTATAGATGAATGTAATATAATGCCAAATGTTGGTTTACGTCACAGGCACCATTACCGACTGTAGTTATCTCTCTTGATAACAAACTATAATAATGAGTATTTTAAATTATAGAAAGAATAAAAAACACACACAGGTAACTTAAACAAGTAACAAACATACAGAATATTTGATAAAATAATTCACATAAACAAAAAGCATAGATACCACCATCAAATCATTCTATAAACTTGAACTGAAACAAAATATGTAAGGAAACTTACAAAACTTATTCTTTGAAACTTATTCTATCAAATCAAGATTATTCCTACAAAATGTATTTGTTCTAAATATTGAAAAAAAATAAAAAAATTTCAGATTGGAATGTGAGTTTTAAAAAATAATTTGAGCCGCGTCACGACAAAACCAACGTAATGGGTTTGCAACCAGCATGGATCCAGATCAGCCTGCGAATCAGCGCAGTCTGATCAGAATCCATGCTGCTCACTTACGACCCGTATAACAAGTATAGAAACTGATAGCGAACAGCATAGATCCTGATCAGACTGCGCGGATGTGCTGGATCCATGCTGGTCGCAAACGCATTACGTTGGTTTTGTCGTGACGCGGCTCATATTATGAATCAATCCAAAAGTTTATTTTACAACGAAATGACGAAAATTCAGCAAAATAAATGGATACAAGTTTACACAAGCAAAAAGTGCAAGTGCAGGTCGAGTTAAAGTTTGCATCAGAAATGAAAATATTGATATGAATAAGCAGTGACTGATATTACTATATCAAATCATCATCTCACATTGTTAAGTTAAATATATATATTTAAGCTATTACTTTTTCTTTATTCCTCACAAATTTGACATTTTTCTTTATTATATAGTTAAATGTATTATAGCAACACTGCTACATATATTTAACTAAATTTCTACAGATGATTTCATAGTTTTTCATTTCAAAGATTTGCAATAAGTTTTACAAATACATGAGACCTGTAGCATTTTCAAACATTTATGGCAAGACTTAATGATTTTTTTAAAGTTAAACAGCATTCGTACAAGCTTTTGATATTCATTCATTCTAAACATAATAATGACAGCAATTTTTCTTTTGATGTATTGGTATAAAAAAACTCCCAAAGAAACAAAAGGACATTTCATGATAAAGTATTGAAAATGTAAATCACATTTAACGAATGAGAACATTGTTGAATGATCTCACACCCTCTTACACATATATACACTCAGCCACAACAATTGATATAAATATCCTAGTGTAACACAATGCGTTATGGCACACCAAACGGAACTACCAAGTCCTCTTTATGTTCCACTTTTACTTCTTTACATGCTTGCGATGCTTTCAATGCCGCTGACGTAATCTGTAACATCAACGTGACAAATGGTAGAATAAAATACTGCATGAAAACATCACGATATACATGGACTCTAAAATTTGCTTGCTTTTATTATTATTTTAAAAGGTTTATTTGTTACAAATTAATCATGACTATATACCTCAGGACAATCAAAACATATTGGACTTTCAGTAGTATATAAACAAAGAATTTTTGAAAACATTTTGTCATCAAAGCCATGTAGTTGAACAAATATACTTTCACTTTACCAAATTTAAAAAGAGAGAAGAAATTTTGTTCACAATGATACAGGTTTTTACCCCACCTTACATGGTATATTTGCAAGGTCATATGAGCATGTAAATGTCTTCCCTTGAATCCTCTATGCTGCTATAAATCGAGACAAGCTGTGTGACATCATTTTTGTGATGTAATCATATATTGAAAAAGTGTTCAAAAGCCGTTTGCTCAAACATATATAAGTCTTCAGAATTATATGGCAGGTCAGTACGAAATATAAAATTTGCAGATAATTTTTTTATAATGTCATAATCAGAACCCAACAGTGGAGGATTATTATTCATAGATGATGTAGAAAACTGTACTCACCAGTTCTATATCAGCTAGGGATATAGGTTGAGATGCGAGGACTATTTGTGGAGCATTTACACCATTTGGTAACGGCATTTTATATTGTCTTCCTCGTCCAGTACTGGATAGCACCATATTTACTCTATTGCTGTCATAGGAAATATAAAATGTTAAAATCATTAATACAATTTCTCACAATTTCACAAATACAACAAAGTATTCTTTGAAAAAATGAACATTCTATCAGTTTGAACATATTTGATAATTTCAAAGTATGATTACAAATTATGCAATTTGTTATTGTTGGTATAATTAATACAAAATCATAGTATTGATATTACAAGTATATATTATATTTTACTTTCAAAACTACATGTATTGCTGTTTTATTTCTATGTCATCAGAAATGCTAACTTTTTATTTCTCAAAAGCTTTTTATCTTTTGCCTTCTGTCACCGTTTTTGAAACAAGTACTTATTGGTAGATTATGCATTTTTGCATTTTGTGTTTTGGCAATTTGTACAGTTATAGTGGACTAGTGGTTAAGTATAATATGAAAGTCAAAATGCCACTTTGTTTACATTTTGCTACCTTTATGACAAATGAGCCGTGTCATGACAAAATCAACATAATGGGTTTGCATCCGCGCAGTCTGATCAGGATCCATGCTGTTCGCTTACTTACCCTATTACAAGTAGAGAAACTGATAGCGAACAGCATGGATCCTGATCAGACTGCACGGATGCGCAGGCTGGTCTGGATCCATGCTGGTCGCAAACGCACTATGTTGGTTTTGTCTTGACACGGCTCAAATTATTTCACTTCCAGCACTAATCTATCCTGGTCATAAGTACTAAAGATGCTCTTAATCCATTATAACAACACTATAAAACACGTGTACATGTTATTATTCTTCTCAAAAGAATATTTTATATATTCATTTCTAAGGCATAACAGGGATATAAAATTGGTACAGTATTTTGCAAACTTTACTTTTCAAAGACATAAAATAGATAATTCCTTAAATCTGTACAGGTAGATAGTGCTTATCTAGGAGCATGCACTCAAAATGTTTGGAAGTTATATGTTGAAAGACTTCCAGGATGTTTAGGTCAAGGTAAAAATTGTGTGAGAAACCGATAGATGGGCAGAGAAATAAACAGACGTACCGAAAACTATATGCCCTTTAAGTGTTACTAATTAGAGGGTATGAAAATCAAGATGACAAAATGACTAACTTACCTATATTGTCTTGCTTTATCATGGTATTCATGTTGCTCTAATCCCCTTCCTTCTGCTGCCGATACATCCACTGTATCACTAATAACAACAACAACAAAATTATTTCACAATTGATATAGCAAGAAAAATAATAGACACAAGCATTGACTATTGCTTTTTTTAAGCCTAAAAAAAATATACATGTAGTCTACAATTCCGGCAAACCATTATACATGTAAAAACCCATAGAAACAAAACTGCCTATGACTGGTTAAAATTATTGTAGTAAAAGAAATTTAACTGACTAGGACAGCCAGATGAGTTCAGGAACATTTTTATACCCACAGCCAACATTCAACATTATACAATTTTTACAAATAACAAAATAATAATGTAGGATATTGTAGGATACATGAAGAATTTTGACAAGTTAAGATGACCACTATGATGGATTATTTATAACCTGTCAAAATAATTATAACGAATTTGTAATGCCACACAATTGCTTTTTTAATTTTGTAAATGAAATTCATTCCATAACTATGCAGCAGCCATGTTATCAGATAACTAATATCCTCCACTGAATAAATAAAGTTTTATGAAATATACCTAGCAGTTTTATGTAATATTCTCGACAAAGCTGACCGCTCATCACCTTCAGGAGTGGGTTCTGGAACTTTTGGTATTGTCTGTGATTCTCTGATCAAAATAACCAGCAATTTCAATAATAGTTACATAACAAGAATAATATCTTCTAAGTTATAACTTATTCATGAATTATCTCATCACAAAAATGATATATTATAGGAAGAATTATAGAAATAATTTTACTTCTACATTTTCTTTATTCATGATAACACCTACTTATAGCCTGGTCAACAGGACAGCTACATATACATGTAGCAATTTAAATCAAATTTAATTCAAATAAAACTAAATTAAACCCTTTCATGGTAAGAATGACAGATATACATTTGCAATTAAGCCATTGTAAATAACTTTAAGGTAGGTAATCATAGATTCAAACGTATAATAAACAAGAAGTATTGTATATTTACAGTCATTAAATGTTGTTTATTTACATTGCTTATAATGCAATTTATTTATAACAAATTTCTATGAATCCAGTATCTAAAGTTACTGTTTTAAAATCATAAAAATAAGAAAGAAATAGTGAAAGAAAACAGTAAAGACTGGATACCTGAAATGTTGATTTGTGGACTGGCCGTGATTTGGTGTTATCAATGGATCATTTTCTGTCGGACCATCTGCCTGAAATATCCATTTTTATATCTTTAAGCTAATCCAGTTACCTTAGAAATCATGTAAGGCTACACAAATTTACTCATCCGCTCCTAGTTACACCGGTAACAGTATAAGAAATTTACATGTAAATCCAAATTACAATACATAACTTGTTTGTTGGTATAAGGTATTATTTGCGTTTTCCTGTAGTGATCTTCAGGATGAGAACATATTGCAGCACGATGAGAAGAAATTCTTAGGACAAGTTGCTAATGAAAAATTTGTTGAACCCCAGCATTTTCTCCAATCAGTGCATGTAATACAATAGTTAACATCCACTTCTCATACAATGTATGGCAAACTAGTCAAATCGGCCCCAAGTCAGATCGGCCCCAAAATTAGTCAATTGGGCCTCAAAATTAGTCAAATCGGCCACACAACAATTTTAAAAAGTCAAATCGGCCCCAAAACTAATCAAATCGGCCCCAAAACTAGTCAAATAGGCCTCACAACTAGTCAAATTGGCCCTAAAGTTATTTTTATGATAAATCCTATTTTGGTTAAAATAATGTTATTCGCCAAAAAATACAAGGTTATTAACTGAGAATTGTACTTTAACATAAATGTACCAATTAAAAATAATTCATTACAAAATTGAGACAGTTTTGATGCTAGTGATAATTGTTATTAATGTAATTATGCAGGTGTGCTATGGTTGTTGATTGATTTCTACATTTAATTTCAATTAAATATCTGAACATTTAAAGGTTGGTCTACATTTTGAAGATAAATAATAATGTGAAAAACAAACAATTATCACGTGTCTTTAATCAATTCAGTCATTGTCTCAAATAATCATGCATTGAATTCGGCTTTTTAAACAAACAATTTTGCGTGAAGTGAATTTAATCAGTTATGTATAAAAAGGTTGATTTTTTTAGCAACAGTCAAAAATGTATTTACTAATTTTCTAAATGCATTTTATTAATAGAGTAGTTTTTAATTTAAATTATAGTTTATTGATAATAATAAATAGAGATGTAATGCTACTGGATTAACGAATGATTGATGCAATAAACGATAATTAAGTGTGAACAACGTGCTACCTGATTAAACGTGACGGTACAAAATTATGTGATGTTCAAACTTAATTTGATTTGTCGCACATGAGTGGATATAGGAACAGGCAGACAATATAGATATCATATATGAATGTATAATTTGATATTAAATTGATGACCATCATATATAAACGAATACGAATACCAAACTTAAATTCTCAAACTGTCCCTTTAAAAAAATCGGTATATAATTATGTGAATATAACTGCTTGAATTTATTATATCATGATTTCTTGGTGCATGCATTATAATAAATATACATGTATTATATAATACCCATCATCTCAACATACATATGTATGTTGCAGTGCTACAGATAAGCAGCGTATCTGCGTAATTACCCAATAATTTTGACCAATTTACCCAAATAAAATAAAATCTTTGCGTAATAAAAACGCAAATCAAAATATCAGTACCCAATTTGTTTTGATACTCTAGCGTATTTTCAATATCTTGGACCATAATTCACCTAGCAAAAACTGCCAAACAAATCCGAAAGTAGCCTGTTTCCCTTTCTGTACTTTCGTTTTCTATTTGTTAACCGGGAACAATTGAGTAGACTGGTTATATTAAAGATATTTTTCGCGGAAAAGCTTTATATACTTATGAGAGATAACTAAATAGCAGTCCAGACTGAGGTTTATTTACTTTCTGCTTCAACAAAATGGCGAAACGGGGCTGATAAAAATTAATTATTTCAATGCAGTCTAACAAAATATTTGGTTATTTTACCGAACCAGATGTTGTAAAAAATTTGTTAAATGAACTTTTTAGACAATGTTTGTTTACAGTCTTTGTGTATATTGTTTCCGAGATCCTGGACACTATTTTGACCGATGCAAATCTATGCAAACCAATAAATTTTTCATTGATACCCAATTTTGTTTCTGTGTTACCCAATTGCTTGTCAAGTCCAGGGGTAAATACCCAATTAACTCAAAAGCTTATCTGTAGCTCTGTATGTTGAGATGATGGGTATTATGCCCCAGTCAGAAATAAAGTATATGTTCTGTTCTGTTATGATTATTTTGTCCGAAAAATACTTATTTTTAGAGATATCCATCCAATTAAAGAGTGAGACGTTTAATCAGGTAGCATGTTGTTCACACTTTAAATTAGCTGTTTATTAGTTACACGTGTCCGACACATCTGAATAAATTATATATTTAATCAATATAAATTTAATTTCTTTCAATTAAAAAACTATAAAAGAACTATAAAAGAAATTATGTCACCAACAACTTAAGACATCCACGTTTTAGACTGTGGTATCTTTAAAGCTGAAGTAATCACATTTAATCAAAAAATGAGTAATTCTACTTACCTTGATTCCATCTCTGTGTATAAAATCATAATTAACAAAATTGAAAAAGTCTTAGTATAATTATAAAAAAAACATATATATTAAACTCTTGATAAAAATGACTTCAAATGAATATAATAAATTCAATTGATTATTATAATTATGTTTTGTTCTTGTTTTCTATGTAATCCATTGTTTGTCATTTGGTATTCCCATCCACACGATTGTTTTTTATCAACATTTAAAAAATAAGAAAATGAATCATGAATTAAGAAAAAAAAAATGGGGCCGATCTGACTTGAGGCCGATTTCACTTGGGGCCGATTTGACTATTTTGTGGCCGATCTGACTTGGGGCCGATTTGACTGTAATTCCAAATTATGTATGCCATAAATTTGCAGTTTTGTAAATTATTTATTGTTGTCGTTTTATTTTAAGTTATTGTTTTCTGATAACAAAAATATGAAATAAAAAATAAAACAATATATAATTTAATGATAAAACCTTTACTGAATGAACAAGATGAATACAGAAGGAATACTGGATGTTTTCTGTATAACGGACAGAGGGCGGAAAATATATTTCCGGCTGTCAGATGCCCCTCTGACGGCATCACAGTGGTACTGGCTAACAGCAGGCAGTGATTTTTCGCCTTATAACAAAGGCTGCTAATAGGCTACATCTCATGTAAATTTCACTGTTTCAGTTAATCTTACCATTCACTGGATTCAGTAAGGCCCCCACGATTACACGTTTAAACGGGTTCGTTTCGATTTTCATTCCTAAACGTTTACGATATTGTCTACCGTTTAATCGAAATGACCGTATTGTCTTACAAAATTTCTTAATCATTGCCTGTAATCATGGATTTTATCAATTCTAGTGGTTTATTCCAAAGTAAACAAACGGAAAATATGTGTTTACAACCCTCCACACAGCATTACGGTGCAAAATTGCTCGTGACATAATACATTTTTGGTAAAAAATGGGGTTACAATGCAAAAAATGTATGCTGACTCAATCATGATGAGCCCTGCACATTCTTTATTTGTACATGTATAAAAATAGAAAGATAGACATCATTTGGCGACTTAAATACATGGTGTGTATAGTACATAGAGGTACCACCGTTTAAACGGTATCGTTTCGGTTCTTAGCAATCCTGTAAACGTTTACAAAAAATTGTAAACGTGGGAGCCTTACCATTCAGACGGTCCCGCAAACCAGGAAATATTCTTGAGAATTAAAAAGCTAATTTCACAGTAATTTTGACTCACAAAATAACTAAAACATTCCAGTCTTTCCACTGACATAAAACTATATTCAAAAGAATGTTAACTGATATATTTGTAAACATTTCTTTAAAGAAAAGTGCAATAAAAATAGGATATATCTTTATCCGAATATGTTTATAAAGAATATCCGGATACTATGCCATTTATACAATAAAACACTTTCATAGATTATCACCATCTTTGAAAAACTTACATCATAGTCTTTAGGCGGACCGTTTAAACAACTTTCGCAACACCCCATATTGAGTGACAAACTATCAAATCATCATTTAAAAGGGTTGTTGACATTCACAAACGGAAGCTCACATGACCGGCCTATTCACGGACTGAATAACTTATACTTATTTATGTCTTGTAAAAAAAAAGAAGACTTGACAAGCATCAAGTTTTGATCTATTAAAACACCCGATCTTCAGCATATCAAAATTGATTTATTTGATAGTTTCTAAGATTTCTTTTTTAATAAATAAATATTAAGTGCTGAACTACAAACATGTCAGCGCCCATGAAAACGAAAATGCAATCAACTTTATTCAAATTAAATATTTGGCAAAGATTGTGTTCATATAGATGTTATTCAACACTTAAGAAGAACATTAATGATATACTTAACCAGTCATGTGAAAATGGAAAGTTGCCAGTTTCAACTGAGGTAATAATTCATTGAATCTAGAAACTTTTGACAGTAACTACCACAGGGGGCCCACACAGTGTTTGGATGGTATATACTGCTTGATAGTGACCTTAAAATGAGATTTTAGTCATAACCTTATAATATGTATATAAAGACTATATTGTGGTAACTACAGAAGTCAGACAGTGCAAGCTTAGATCAGGGAATCCATGCATGGATAGACTCCTTGTTTTAAATCATGGAAAGTGGTTAATTTTTATTTTAGAGTAAACAGAACATTTTAAACTAAGAAAACATGGTCATGGTCATGTTTGCAAGACATGAAATATGGAAATGAAAGTAAAAAAATTCCAGTGAATAAAAACAGAAAAATCGCTAAGGCCATCCTTAAAAAAATGTTTGTTTGCAGTAACGCGACCGACTCACAAAATTTGCCCCTACTCAAATTTTTTTTTCATGGTCCGGATAAAAAAAATATTTTTTTTTAATCAGAAAATTATGCCTTGTGCTTTGTTTTCATTCTTTTAAAGGTTAATAGAAGAAATAAAATGTAGGTCTTATTAAATTAGAATTCAGTTATCAATTTATTAATTGTTACCAGACTATCAAAGCAATTTTGAAATTCTATGTTTATTTGGGAGTACAGTTCACTAAAAAAAAAAAAAAAAAAAAAATCGACCTACCTTCCCACCTTCAAAATTCTGGGTCGGGTTACTGCAAACAAACATTTTTTTAGGGATGGCCTAAAAGTGCATATTTATTGAAAAGTTATGTCCAGTCTCTGTGGCAAAACTGATATTACCAGTGTAACCATCCTTGGATACCCACTGCTGAAACATCAACAGTTATCTGACAGCTGTAGGATATTTGGCCGATATCAGGTTGAGTCAGAGGTGTATGAAGGACAACTACTTATGAATTTCATTGCTTGCCTCTGTTTTCATGAGGCAATTAAAACCAATCAAACTTCTTGTTCTATACGACATCCAGTATTACAGACAAAATTGTGGCAACCAATTAAATTCAGCTGTGAAAAGTTCAATAATAGAGACATGAACCATTTCCTGCAAAAAAAGCATATAAAATTTACTGTTACTGATAGATTTTACCTTCGCCTTTGAAGGGTACAAATTTTTTGTGAAACGAGATTTCATTGGTTGATATTTTTTGCACCTGTTACTGTATATCAATGCAAATCGATTAATTTTACGCACAGCTTGATAACATTTAATTTTTTAACCGATGCTGATGCATTGTTATGTACAAATGTGATTATTTCTTTGCAGCTATATACAGATAGACAGATAGTTACGATTAGCAACAACTCTGTGCAAAAATGAAGAAATTTCTTTTGAAGCATTTTGTTAAAACCAACAAACTGAATTGAAAATATTTTATTTGATTTCAGGGTTGGATAAAATCATTAAGAAAGCAAAAGAAGTTCACATTCTTTCATTTGAATGATGGCTCAAGCAGTACAAGTCTTCAAGTTGTAATTGATTCACAGCTATGTGACAGGTTGCACTTTTTATTTACGCCAAGATCTTTTTAAATATAATGATATAGAATTAAAGGAGAAAGAATAGTTTCTCAATAATTCAAAGGGACCACCATTTCCACATACAAAGATATTTAATCAGCTAAATCATTTTATGATTAACTTTTTTATCAACAAAATATTCATTAAAAAAGGATATCGAGATGAATTAAAAAACAAAACATTAAACTCAAAACAAAACTGTTTTCAATTAGTACAAAAATTTTAGTAACTATTTTATTTAAGGAATACTTGACCTTAAAGTAATGATTTTATTTGAGGAATACTTGACCTTAAAGTAATGATTTATTAAACGTATTTGACCATACATTAAAACTTACAAAAAAAATCATTTATTATACACCTAAATTAAATAGAGTTGCTATTTCACAGTTTATATTTTGTAAACATTTTTATGTACTTTTATGTCTATTGAATGAGTTACTCATCTGTGTCACAAGAGCCCTATGACTTTTCTACATGTAACACTCAGTTTAGTCTTGAACTACATTTTGTAAATAGGTCTTGTGTGATGTATTGTCACACTTATTTTGCAGGTTGATATCAACTGGTTGTAGTGTACATGTTGAGGGTGACCTTGTCAAAAGTCATGGTCAAGGTCAAGCAGTAGAGGTTCAAGCTTCTAGTGTCAGGGTTATTGGACAATGTGATAATGATGTTAGTATGAAACTTCATGTATTATTCTACTGTTTCAACCTGTGAATGAATATTTGTAATGGACTGACCCTACTTAGTTTATAAGTAAATTATGAGATTTCAGTTTCAAAAGTATAAGATTGATTAGCCATGACAGTACAGAGCCAGTCATTTGCAAATTAATGCTGCTATTTGCCAGTTCAGCAAATGGTAAAAAACAACAAAAAAAACCCCAAAAAACAAAACAAAACAAAACAAAAAATACACACACAGACATAAAAATACAAAAGTTAAACAAAAATGAAAAATCATGCCTCATTATAGCTGAATTGAAAATTTACCCTCAATAACTGCTGATAAATGCAGACAAAAGTTGAAAAAGTGTGATTGCTTACAGCTATTAGTGTCATTTCGACGTTCAATTGTTGATCACATGCTGGGAGATTATCTCTACACTCAAGAGAGTAAATAGCTTGAGCAATTTTAGGTACTTCTTTGCTTTGTATATAAACTTTGTAGTGGCAGAATGTCACTGACTTCAAAACATATGCCCCTCAGGCTCACTGTAGCGGATTTGAATCCTGCCAGTGACTTTGGATTCTATCATGTATGAGAGCTATCAAGCTTCCATACAGAATGTTGATGTTTCTACTCGGGCTTGTGACTGAATAATTTGCGGAGGAGTACCTGAGGTTTTTCTCCACCAGGAAAGCAGGAATGTTGCTATATAACCTTTTAATGTTACCCAATCCACCCCAGCCCTGCCCCCATACATTTATTGCTTAATGATATGGTTGCCAAACAAAATCTGTATACATGTACATGTATTCTGTTTACATGTACATGTATATTTCAATTACAGGAATACCCACTGAAGGCAAAGAGTAATTATACAGTAGAATATACTAGGCAACTTCTTCATCTTCGACCTAGGACAGAACATCACAGTAACCTACTCAAGCTTAGAAATACAGCCTCTATGGCTGTCCATAAATACTTCCAGGTGATCTGCTTGTCAGTTTTTGTCTTATATATGTATAATAATTGCTACATTTGAACCTGATAACTTGTTCTGTTTATAATTGAATTGAAATGCATGTCAAGTACAAGGGAAAATGTTTTGATTTTGTGAAAAAGATTCTTTAAGTTTGATTAAATTTGGTGGTATTATAATAGATTGTTGAAAAAACATGAAAATGCCCCTATTGGAAGCAAAAAAACAGTTTTATTATCTTACATTGGTCAGTCTGTATATAGGATTGTTAATGTCTGTTAGATTGACCTTTAGTTGGATAATGTGATAACTAGGAAACAGTTTAACATATAGTGGTCACATGTTATTATTGTTATTTTAAGCAGAGAAGCTCTTTTATTTTGGACCATAGTAAGTCCTTGAGCCACTGTCTGTTTGAAGTGCACAATCACAATCAATTTGCACTCACTGTGACCCAGAATAAAAGAGAATCTCTCCTGAAACATAACAGGCTGTCATGAAAGGCATGCATTTGTATATTCGTAACAAGAGACAAAAATGCTTATGACACAATTACCTTGGTCCACCCACAAGTCATATTGATGCACATCTATGTTTTACGAAAAAATTGAAAACATTGTTTATGACTTAATCAATTTGTAAATAAATGGTTTTGATTATAATTGCCAGGTTAAGATATGTTAAAAACATTACGATAGACCATCTTGATTTTGTTTTCTGGATCATGTTATGGTACCACAACTGTATGTATTATGTTTCCGGATCATGTTTTGATATCTCAACTGTATGTATTTCGTTTCCGGATCATGTTTGGGTATCACAACTTTATGTATTATGTTCCCAGATCATGTTTTGATATCACAACTGTATGTTTTATGTTTCCGGATCATCTTTTGATATCTCAACTGTATGTATTTTGTTTGTGGATCATGTTTTGATATCTCAACTGTATGTATTATGTTTGTGGATCATGTTTTGATATCTCAACTGTATGTATTTTGTTTCTGGATCATGTTTTGATATCTCAACTGTAGGTATTATGTTTCGGGATCATGTTTTGATATCTCAACTGTATGTATTTTGTTTCTGGATCATGTTTTGATATCTCAACTGTATGTATTATGTATCATGTTTTGATATCTCAACTGTATGTATTATGTATCATGTTTTGATATCTCAACTGTATGTATTATTGTTGTGGATCATGTTTTGATATCACAACTTTATGTATTATGTTTCCAGATCATGTTTTGATATCACAACTGTATGTATTTTCTTTATGGATCATGTTTTGATATCACAACTGTATGTATAATGTTTCCGGATCATGTTTTGATATCACAACTGTATGTTTTATGTTTCAGGATCAAGGCTATCTGTTCATACATACACCAATTATATCTTCTAATGACTGTGAAGGGGCTGGAGAAACTTTTTCTGTTGAGGTGAAAAAACTTTCAATAGACAACGCAGTTAATCTTCGTTGTTGCTGAAAATATCACAATATAAGAAATCTATGAATTTCATTCAAGCATTATTTATTGTAGAAAGTACAACTTTTAATGCAGAAAGAATTACTTTAGATGAATTTGGAGTTATTTTTTCAGTTCATATTTTATGAAACTGTATAAGTACAAATATTTTATGAAACTGTATAAGTACAAAGAAAGTCTTTCAATATAATGCTTGTTTATTTTTGTAGACAGATGTATCAAAATTACCTATACAAGAAGACAAACCAGAACAGACCAATCAAGATAGTAAATCTTTCTTTGGACATCCTGCTTACCTGACAGTATCTGGCCAGCTGCATTTAGAAGCAGCAACAGGGTTAGTTAATCATTTATTTTGTTGTTATTTGTAAACATGGCTAATATACATGTAAACCTCAATGACTCTGCCTTGTCATTGTTGTTTAATTGATGAAGTAAGTATATTCATGTAACAACTTTGTATTTTTGTTATTATGTTAAACATACATGTATATACAATTTATGAAATTTGAAGTTGTAATGATTAAAAAAATCATTAAATGATTCTGTGAAAAGTACCTTTAAAGACATCATATCATTTGACGTCTTGTCCATTATGTTTTTTATGCTCCCCGAAAAAATTTTGGGGGAGCATATAGTCGCCGCCTTGTCCGTCCGTCCGTCTGTCCGCACTACCGAATAGGGATAGGGGGCCATCTAACTGTAAACAGAACAAAAGAGAACAATAGAGTTCATTCCGTAACAATAGAGTAAGGGGCCATTGGCCCTCTATTAAACAATAGAAAATAACAAAAGAAATGGCCCCTTATTCCATTCCAATTATTCCCCTTTGTTTATTTTTACACTTTGAAGTTTGTCAGGGACATAACTCTAAAAGTATAAGAGGTATCAACATGAAACTTTGTAGGTAGATAGATCTCATTGAGTAGGTGTGCAGTGCACAAGAACCGTAACTCTGCCTTGCCTAATTTTTGAATTATTCCCCTTTGTTTATTTTTACACTTTGAAGTTTGTCCGGGACATAACTCTAAAAGTATAAGAGGTATCAACATGAAACTTTGTAGGTAGATAGATCTCATTGAGTAGGTGTGCAGTGCACAAGAACTGTAACTCTGGCTTGCCTAATTTTTGAATTATCCCCCTTTGTTATATGCCCGAAAGAATTTCGGACATATTATGTTATACCCCCTGGCGTCCGTCCGTCCGTCTGTCCGTCCGTCCGTCCGTCCGTCCGTCCGTCTGTTAGCAATTTGGTTTCCGGAGCATAACTTAAGTTCCATTTGGCCCACAATATTCAAACTTCATAGGAAGATTGTCCATATTGGGTAGAAGACCCCTATTGATTTTGGGGTCATAAGGTCAAAGGTCAAGGTCACTATGACCTTAAAACTGAAAACAGTTTCCGGAGCATAACTTAAGTTCCATTTGGCCTACAGTGTTCAAACTTCATAGGATGATTGTCCATATTGGGTAAAAGACCCCTATTGATTTTGGGGTCACAAGGTCAAAGGTCAAGGTCACTATGACCTTAAAACTGAAAACAGTTTCCGGAGCATAACTTAAGTTCCATTTGGCCCACAGTGTTCAAACTTCATAGGATGATTGTCCATATTGGGTAGAAGACCCCTATTGATTTTGGGGTCAAAGGTCAAGGTCACTATGACATTAAAACTGAAAACAGTTTCCGGAGCATAACTTAAGTTCCATTTGTCCTACAGTGTTCAAACTTCATAGGATGATTGTCCATATTTGGTAGAAGACCCCTATAGGTTTTGGGGTCACAGGTCAAAGGTCAAGGTCACTATGACCTTAAAACTGAAAACAGTTTCCGGAGCATAACTTAAGTTCCATTTGGCCCACAGTGTTCAAACTTCATAGGATGATTGTCCATATTGGGTAGAAGACCCCTAGTGATTTTGGGGTCATAAGGTCAAAGGTCAAGGTCACTATGACCTTAAAACTGAAAACAGTTTCCGGAGCATAACTTAAGTTCCATTTGGCCTACAGTGTTCAAACTTCATAGGATGATTGTCCATATTGGGTAGAAGACCCCTATTGATTTTGGGGTCACAAGGTCAAAGGTCAAGGTCACTATTACTTAGAAATTGAAAACAGTTTCTTGAGCATGACTTTAGTTCCATTTAGCCCACAATATTCAAACTTTATAGGATGATTGTCCATATTGGGTAGAAGACCCCTATTGATTTTGGGGGTCACAAGGTCAAGGTCACTATTACCTAAAAACTGAAAACAGTTTTCGGAATATAACTTAAGTATCATTTGGCCTACTGTGTTTAAACTTCATAGTATGATTGTCCATATTGGGTAAAAGACCGCTAATGATTTTGGGGTCACAAGGTCAAAGGTCAAGGTCACTTTTACCTTAGAATTGAAAACAGTTTCTGGGGCATAACTTAAAGTTCCATTTGGACCACAATATTGAAACTTCAAAGGAGGATTGTTATTTGAAGGAGGTAATACTTTATTTTAGTCCCATGTCTTACAAATGCTTCATCTTTACTAAAAAAAAAAACAACACTTTCGGGCATATAATGCTCCGCCTAGCGGTGCTCTTGTTTATTTTACACTTTGAAGTTTGTCCGGGACATAACTCTAAAAGTATAAGAGGTATCAACATGAAACTTTGTAGGTAGATAGATCTCATTGAGTAGGTGTGCAGTGCACAAGAACCGTAACTCTGCCTTGCCTAATTTTTGAATTATTCCCCTTCGTTTATTTTACACTTTTGAAGTTTGTCCGGGACATAACTCTAAAAGTATAAGAGGTATCAACATGAAACTGTGTAGGTAGATAGAGCTCATTGAGTAGGTGTGCAGTGCACAAGAACCGTAACTCTGCCTTGCCTAATTTTTGAATTATCCCCCTTTGTTTATTTTACACTTTGAAATTTGTCCGGGACATAACTTTGAAACAACAAGAGGTATCAACATGAAAATATGTAGGTAGATAGATCTCATTGAGTAGGTGTGCAGTGCATAAGAACTGTAACTCTGCCTTGCCTAATTTTTGAATTATCCCCCTTTGTTTATTTTACACTTTGAACTTTGTCCAGGACATAACTCTAAAACTATAATAGGTATCAACATGAAACTTTGTAGGTAGATAGATCTCATTGAGTAGGTGTGCAGTAAACAAGAACCTTAACTCTGTTTTGCCTAATTTTTTAATTATCCCCCTTTGTTTATTTTTACACTTTGAACTTTGTCCGGGACTTTACTCTAAATGTATAAGAGATATCAACATGAAACTTTGTAGGTAGATAGATCTCATTGAGTAAGTTTGCAGTGCACAAGAACTGTAACACTGTCTTGCCTACTTTTGGAGTTATTGCCCTTTGTTCATTTTGACACTTTGAACTTTGTCCAAGGCATTACTCTAAAATTATAAGAGATATCAACATGAAACTTTGTAGATAGATAGGTCTCATTGGGTGGAAGTGCAGTGTTAAGAATCATTACTCTGCCTTGCCTTATTTTGAAGTAATTGCCCTTTGTTTATTTTTACTTTTTGACTTTTGTCCGTGACATAACTTTAAAACTATAAGAGATATCAACATGAAACTTTGTAGGTAGCTAGATATAATTTGATAGAACTGCAATGCTTAAAGAACCTAAACAAAGCCTGGTCTAATTTTGGAGTTATTGCCCTTTGTTCATTTTTACACTTTGAATTTTACCCGGGACATAACTCTGATATCATCAGGAAACTTTATAGATAGATAGATCTCATTGAATAGAAGTGCAGTGCAAAAAAACATAACTCCGCTTTGCCTTATTTTGGAGTTTTTTGCCCTTTGTTCATTTTTTTTATACTTTCCTGTGTCCAGAACCTTCTCGGGGAGCATCACCCGGTTCAACCGGTTCTTGTATTATTTGAATTCTAAGTAAGTTTATATGAAAATCATGTGATAAAAATTTAGGTTGAAGTCATATTTATATTGTATTGTTGTTAGTGTCTCTGTTATTGTGAAATTATGTTTGAAAAGGCATTTATGTTTTATTAACTTATCTTGTTTTACTGAAGATAATATTTTACTATGTCTTGTGTGGTGTTATTTTCAGTGCATTTAGAAAAGTATATAACTTTGGTCCAACATTTAGAGCAGAGAATTCAGTAGGCAGACATCATTTAGCAGAGTTTTACATGATAGAAGCGGAACTTGCTTTTACAGAGACACTTGAAGATATAATGAAGGTAATGTTAGTTTTACATGACAGTATAACAGGTTAAAATAAAGTCTTTTTTGTTTTATTGTGAAAACTCATTGTGTTTTAATAGTAGTAAATATATTGTAATAAATGTAAAAAATTAACTAATTTAAGCAAGCTTAATGCACTTCTTGGTTTAATTTCCATCTATACCAGGTTGAGTTTTTGTTGTGATTTTAATATTTATGTATGGATGATGTCTCATTTATTGTATAAAATGTTACAGGAAATGGAAAGTCTGGTAAAGCACACATGTTACACTATGATAGACAGTCATGAGAGTATAGTAGACTATTTCTGGAAATTGTCGAGTCATTCTGAACAAAAGTCTATATCTACTAGACTTATTGAATCAAACTTTATAAGGTAAATATTTTTGTGTTAACTATAACCTTTAGTTTACTAATAACGTAGTCACTTATATGATTCTGGGTAATCTCAGCAAGCTCCTTTGTCAGAGGTAAAAATTATTTTTGGACTTGCATAAATTCTTTCCTATATTGTTATAGAAGTATATAGTTTTCTGTGAATTGTGATTTTTTTCTTTTTCAAGAGCAGTAAATGATACAGTCTTGTTGGACTGTATAGATGTATAAGCTTATCTGACTGTACTGATCACATAGTTGATATTATAACTTACATTTTGCAAATTTGAGTATAAGTTTGAAAAATGATGTTGTACTCTATGCATGTTTACTAATTATTGGTTGTTATTTTATTCAAGGATGACATATTCAGAAGCTATCAAAGTATTGGAAAGAAAAAATGATATATTTAAGTTTAAAGCTTATGTGAGTATATTAAAGTTTTTCTACATATTTTCATTTCCATTTTTTTTGACCTCAATATAAAATTTTGATAGATCTAAGAAGATTAAATACCTTGATTTTATGAATACTATACACAACATCACTCATTCCGCGTCATCACTTATTTCACGGTAATGGCATATTTTCATGCGACAAGTGTTAAAATTTGTCAGAATTGACATATTTTATTCAAAGACCTAAACAACAAAGTTTTTGTGCAAAATATTTTAAATCTCTAGATTTTTACGTAAAACAGAACAACATTTTACAAACTTCTGCAAAAAGCAACTGTAATCCATTAAATTTGTGCATACGTCTGAAACAATCATCGTTTTCATAATGTTCTTGTTTGTTGAAAAAACAAATGTTAAGTTACAAAGTAAAGATACTTTTAATATTTAAAATTAAGCAAAATAACATGTAGAAATTTTAACTGAAACATGAAAAAACTGTCATAAAACACCATTACCATGATTTAAATGATGATATACTGTTTTCAAAATGGCCGACATATGGTCTCGTCTGGCCCATTTAAAATGTTTTTGACTGAATATATTGTTGTTTCCTTGTGTCATACAGCAGAAAATACCTATATGTTACAGCTTATGACAATTTTTGTACCATAAGTTTCATGCGTTGTATTCTTTCTTGTTTCAAAGCCTTAAATACCTTGATCTAAGAGGAGCACAGTATAAATCATAACACCCATATTTGAATGTCTAATATCTCCTTTTATAATTTTTGAAATTTGTTAGAAAATAAAATGTTGTCAAAGTTTCTTTTGAAATTATGTTTCCTATGTTTTTATATATAACAGTGGGGTTGTGATCTACAAAAAGAACATGAGAAGTATCTGGTGAAACATTGCAACAATGTTCCTGTATTTGTTACAGATTTCCCAGCCTCCCTTAAACCATTTTATGCTAGAAGAAACAGTGAGGAAAATACAGTGAGTTTAACTTTAGACACTACTCGTACTTTGTTGAAATTACTCGTAGAGTACAGAAATATGTGAGATAATTTGAAAATGAACTCTCAAGAACAAAAATGGAGAGCTGTGGCCTGATGTTTAAGGTGTATGCTTTTCATCCCTGGAATCATTGGGTTTGATCCCTGCTGGGGGTCACGAACATGTTTCCTCATATGACACCAGTACGAGTCTCCAGAGTGGTACAAATATGTTGAAAGCTTTAACAATCAAACTTGAATAAAAAAATGTTTAAACTAAAAGCAAACACTTAAAATCCAATTACTTATCTTCAACCCTTTCATAATGCTCCCCTTAAACACATTTTCAAGGCAATATTTGGTCGCTGGTTTTCTGTTGGTCCTACTGTAACAATATTGTTCCTGCTGTAACACATACTTACTGTTTTCATGCCATTTCTGTTTGACTTGCCGTTTCTGGTGCCTATAATACTTATTGACTGATTATTATTATATATGTATATAAGATATTTGTTATGTAGGTACCATATATAGACTCTTATCTTTAGATGAGATTTGAAATCCATGTTGTCAAAATAAATGTTATCAAAGATAAAAAAGATTTGTCTAAATTGGCCACCAATATTCATATTTTATCTTTTATGCAATATTTATGGTGTTGTGTCTTAAAAAATAAATATAGCAATGCACTTGCTAAAAACTTGAAAATTATGTATGATTGAGTTATAAATATATGCTGGCCAAGTGATTAGGATCTCTTGACTTTCAACCATCTGCTGCATGGTACATTGGTATGAGTCCATGGCAGCCATTTCTGTACAGGGCTAACGGTCTACTTAGGTGACAACTAATGCCTTAAAATGACTTTTCCTTTCTCAGTCAGAAAATCTTGTAGGGAAGTTGTAAATGACTATTTAAGTGTTGTTAAATAAAATTATGAAACTAACAAATTAATATTTAACATATTGATGTTAACACAGGTAGCTGCTGTAGATTTACTGGTACCGGAAGTTGGTGAGCTGTTTGGAGGGAGTCTTAGAGAAGAAAGATATGACATAATCAAGTCAAGATTAGATGATCTACAACTAACAGAATCTTATCAATGGTAAATATTTTTCTGACAAACTTTGTATGTCATGCCAATAGGTTAAAGAAAAAAATCTTGCAAATAGGACACAAAGGAAGATTTCTTCAAAGTTAGTTTTAGCAGATAACAAATTCAAATTTCATATCAATAATTGTAACAGGGTTTTGGTTTATGGCTTACAAAAGTTTTGCCATGACTGTGATTGATTGATATTTGACATAATATTGGATAATAAATGTACATTGCAGTTATCTTGACTCTGCACGTTATATATTAGCTGAAGGTTTATATTAATAATAAGTACTTAAGACTATTTTGTGATCTGAAGATCTTCTATATTGACAAAAAAATTGTATAATTTCCCTCAGAGAAAGCCATGTACTCCATCAATTTAGGTTTCTGCAAAAAAAACAACAACAAACATTTAATTTGTTTTGCAACATTTTATTACCTTTTCATTGAATCAGTTCTGTTTTGCTATTTCTGTTGCTTTCAACAGTACTTTCTTTCATTTTATAATGATCATGAATTATGTAAAAAATTAACATGACTTTCATATACTATTAGATCATTGGCATCAAAATGTATCTTGTGTAGTTAACATTTATTCATCACAAGGCTATTTTTGGGGACCCAACTGGGAAACACTGCAATAGGTGTGAGGGTTTGGGGTCATAACCATCTCATACCTTACATTTGCTTTATGTACACAATATTATTTCATCATACACATCAAATAAACATTTATTCTCAACTATGTTCCTCTTATAAAATTCGACGAACGTTTTATATATATTCAGGTATCTTGATTTAAGAAGATATGGCAGTGTAACACATGGTGGATTTGGAATGGGCTTTGAGAGACTTCTTCAGTGTTTTCTAGGAATAAATTCTATAAAAGACACTATACCTTTTCCTCGATGGATCCATCATTGCTCATTATGATCCAGTATTAATTTAACTTACATTATCATATTAACTTACTATAGACATGGTATCTTGCCTGCAATTAACATTGACATGTATCAGTACTGAAACATGTTATTAATTTATTAAATGTATAATATGCTAGATCTGTAACATATAAGTATGTCCCAATCATTTGCCTTGGCTCCTGTCAGGGATCATAAGCTGAAACAAGAATACAATCCCCTGAACTGATTAAAAAGTGTGTAACAATCATTGATGATTACTTTGATCAATCTTTATTGTTAATTTATTATAATAATAATCGTGTTACAAAAATCTAGTAAATATATGTATTGTTTTTAACTTTATTTTAAAATATTGAAAGATGTTCATAGATGTAGTGTGTCAAATGATTTTCCAAGTTAATTTTCAAATTGAAATCTTAATTGTTGATAATTGCAATTATATTTGTGTATGTTTATGAAAGCTATATATGCAGAGACTACATAGTGTTGTGTTGAATCTCATTTTATGTTCAAACTTTAGATAAATAAGATAAATAATTATATACAGAAAAATATATGTAATATGTTTTCATTTTTAAACTTCGCTTCAAAAGGAAGGTGGTATTAGTTTAGTTGAAACATAATTGATTGTACTGAAAATTTGAAGCTTACTATGATATTTCAACTATTTTCCAATCCGTCTCATCGATTCCTTTGAGAAGCATTGGGATTGTCTATACCCAAGTACTGCTCGAACCCACAAAAATAACTACTCCGTTTTTAGCTCGACTATTTGAAGGATATGGAGAGCTATCGTACTTAACCAGACGTTGGCGTCACTGTCACTGTTTGATAAGATTTCCGTTTCCAAAACTACCGGAGGGAAACTTTCTTTACTTGTTTGATAGCATAATAGGTCACTTTTCCAGGCTCATAACTTTAAAATGAATTTTGACGGAATAATAGCCCTTTATGAAAATTCTACATTATCTAAGTTCTTGTTTTACTATCAAACACTAATAGTAGTCGAGCATGCTGTCCTACTGACAGCTGTTGTTGCTTAATTAAATGGAGAATTATATAAAGAGCAACAACTGTTTTTGTCAATAGTTAATAGTTCAAAAGGCAAGTTCACCTCGACACATCGTACAGTGCAATACCAAACCTAAGTAATGTATAATTTTTTTTATATAAATGTGTAGCGAATGTTGCCACCATAATTTGCCAGGTAAGTGAACAGTATTTCTCTTTAAATTTTAAAACGAAGACAAACTAGACCTATCACTGAAGGTGATTAATACCCCCACCAGCAACTTTGACTTTTTGAAAAAAAAGTAGTCTGAAGAAAAATTTGAACACAAACTATCAACTGTGTACAAAGAAATATTTCAATTAATTGTAATCGCAACTGCGGTCTCGATATAAGCTTGCTATACACCAAGTTTGATTACAATATCTCATTCCTAACTCTAGTTATTGTCCGGAAACAATTTTTCTATTTTTAGTAACACTTTAACGGTGACCTTGACCCTAGGGAGTCGAAATGCAATACCAACCCAGGTCTTCATATAAGCTTCCTATACACCAAATTAGATTACAATATCTCATTCCTAACTCTAGTTATTGTCCAAAAACTATTTTTCTATTTTTCCTAACGGTGACCTTGACCCCAGCGTGCCCAAATGCAATACCAACCAATGTCTTCATATAAGCTTGTTATACACTAAGTTTCATAACAATATCTTATTCCTATCTCTAGTTATTGTCCGGAAACAATTTTTCTTTTTTTAGTAACACTTTAACGGTGACCTTGACCCTAGGGAGTCGAAATGCAATACCAACCCAGGCGACTTCATATAAGCTTCCTATACACCAAATTAGATTACAATATCTCATTCCTAACTCTAGTAATAGTCAGAAAACCATTTTTCTATTTTTCCTTACGGTGACCTTGACCTTGACCCCAGGGGGCCTAGATGCAATACCAACCCAGGTCTTCATATAAGCTTGCTATTCATCAATTTTGATTACAGTATCTCATTCCTAAGTCAAGTTATTGTCCGGAAACCATTTTTCGTAACGGTGACCTTGACCTTAACCCCAGGGAGTCCAAATGCAATACCAACCCAGGTCTTCATATAAGCTTGCTATAGGCCAAGTTTGATAACAGTATCTCATTCCTAAGTCAAGTTATTGTCCGGAAACAATTTTTCTATTTTTAGTAACGGTGACCTTGACCTTGACCCCAAGGGGCCCAATTGCAATACCAACCCAGGTCTTTATATAAGCTGGATATAGGCCAAGTTTGATAACAATATCTCAGTCCTAACTCTAGTTATTGTCCGGAAACTATTTTTCTATTTTTAGTAACGGTGACATTGACCTTGACCCCAGGGGGTCCAAATGCAATACCAACCGGAGTTTCCACATAAGGTTGCTATATACCAAGTTTGATTACAATACCTCATTCCAAACTCTAGTTATCGTCCGGAAACCATGATGTGGACCGACCAACCGACCGACAAGCTGACTCCTATATACCCCCCCCCCCCCTAAACTTCGTTTGTGGGGGTATAAAAATAAATAAAAACAGACTACAATATATTTAATTTTTATCTTTATTAATATTTGCCAGAGTTGTTTATGTCACTTTCCCCGCCTATGGTCCCTTCCTGATATGACACTGGCAGGTGTCTTCTCCCTTTTCAGGTTGGAAAACAGCCATAAGCCCTATCTATGCAACTAGAAACAAAAACAGAAATGTCTTTGCTTAACTACTAGTATCACTGAGTGTTAATACAATTTACACAACTTTAATATGTGTATAAAGATTATTTACCAATGTCTCTTTGTTATCAGCAACATATTTTTATAGACTTTGTGCAAGGTGACTGACTTTTAGAGACAGCTTTTTGACCTTTTCAACATAAACAGTGGTAAATGACAAATAGATTAGATCAACAATGACAGCAGTGTTAATGAGGTTGTCCATTCCACATTCCCATTGGATATAAAAGCCAATTTAAATATCTCCAAGTGTTATAGGTCACGCCTTCAATTTCTTCAAGGCTAGATATCTCATTACTGTTTCATAAGAGCTCAAAAATAAGCTTTGGCTGTTAAAATAAGTCAAGGAAAAGCACAACGAAACATAAAGGATTATGAAAGAGTTACAGCAAATCATAAAACAAAATATATTAACACGCGTCAACTTCAGTTATCTAGGTACATTTAGCACTCATATATAGACATACCAAAGATTTCTAGCCACCAAGCGATTAAGTACTTGAGCTTGCGAGTGTATTAAATAAGGTAAAATCTCAGAGTATAAAATTAGGTAAAAATCTCTTCCGATTTTAAGAACAGTGACATAACTTGTGCATAAATGCGCATAACATTCAGTTATTCAAAACTGACTAAAATTTTCTTTTCTAAAGTTTCAAAACGATTGTATTTAAAATGTTCAAAGTTTTTATACTGTGCAAAGTCCGCAATGCTGATTGGTAATATACGTAGCTAGGAAATAGTTAGTGAGGATAAGCTATTGGGCACGTGTCATATTATGGCCTTTTAATAAAAAATGTTTAAAGGCACATTACTCCTCAGACAAAAAAAAAAAAAAACATTTTAAAAAAAGAAACTTTACATTGTTTAAATAACGTTAGGTTTTTTTTTTTTATAAAGATCAGTCGGTAGATCTAATTTAAAAAAAAATGAAAGCTACACTGAAAGAGTATGATGCCATGCACATTTGTACAAAATTGTAAAATTTTGCAGAAAGAGAATTTTCTTATAATAAGAGTTTGAAATTTGCAATTTTAGAATAAAATCGCTTGGCACAGAGAAGCTATCATGTGGCTTTTTAAAGGGGTAAATGTAGCAAGATAAATCAGGAAAGGGGGAAATCTGAAATGAGAGTGCCACAACTGAAAATGGAATTTACCCACACATATTATACTTTTTCATTTTTATTTAATATAACATGCATGGGGACAGCAGCTGTCTGTCTTTCAGTCAATATAAATTTATGAACTGGCTGAAATAAGTTAGCTGCTGTTGAGTCATTTTTCTAGTGAAGAGTGTGCAACAGGGCATTTCAAGGGTAAATATACCGACTTTTGGGTAGAGAAAAAGGCCTTAATTCGGTTTTCACTATCCCTATCTACAAATTATTGTCTCGCTAAGAAGGCCTCCGAGATATCCCTTCTTTGATGAAGAGATTATAGTTGTAACCAACTCGAGAAATATAAATATGTATCTCGTTTTCGTTCCTTGTAAGATTTTGTCAGCGAAACAAGGGGTGCGAAAAACTAATGGATCAGTGCTATGGATTTGTTTTGTTGCCAGAAAAGCAAGGACTGTTTCCACCGGGCCATTTACCTGGGACTTTTCCATCCGGCTGTTCGTGCAGGACGTGATCTGTCGTGTTTTGTACTTCCGTCGAATTTAACTATATCTTACACATATATTTATATTTATTGATTGCAGTCATCCTTACTATTATAGTGAGGTACCTACATTATACTACTTCATAAGATAAATAAGGTATCACAGTCTGAAAGAAAGATACTTATATTAAAGGAACTCCACTGAGGTTTAAAAGCCTAAAACATAACATTTGAAATTCTTAAATAAATGAGCTTGGGCACTTAAAACAGACAAATATATGCAAAGATAGTTTAGAAATATACTTTGAAATAAATCGAAAATCGTATTTCTATGCTTTTCTGAGCCCGATTTGAGTGAAAAACGTTTAAATGCTTTTCATTTTTGGTCATTTTTTTACAATTTGAATAATTATTCTGGAAAAACGAAATGCGCGAATGAAAATTTTGCACAAAGATTAGTGGTCTAAACCTAAATCAAATGGTACATTTATCTGGAAAAAATATTTTCAGTCTAATCATGTCAAACCTCAGTGGAGTCCCTTTAAGATATTAATTTATAAGTGAAGTCTTAGGATTCAAACTTTAAGAATTTTTTATTTAGAGAACATAATTAGAAGCGAAAGTGACAATGCTTTATATATTTATTTACTTCCGGTTATCAATTGTTGTAAAACTTTATTTTATTGTAATTTATGTAATTGATTGCATGTATTATGACCTGTGTATACCACACAATGAAAATAAATAAACAAATTATAACCAGGGATTATTTATATTATTTATACAACACCAATAAAGTCACTCTGAATCATATAGTAATTATTACAAACCTAACGCTTGTATCAAAATATTATATTTTCCATTTTTTTTCTTGGTCACAGTATAGAAAGATATTCAACATTTATTTATAATATTTATGTATAATGATATTTTATTTACACACAAAAACAAGGAATAAAGGTATCCCCCCAAGTTTCAGGGGGCCAGAAAATCCCAAATTTAAATTTAAAAAATGAGATGACCCAAATAAAAAAGTTTTTAAAAATCAAATAAGAACCCTTTTTCCTTAACGTGGTAAAATTAGATGATTTTATGGAAAAGAAACAAAAAGCTATCACTTTATAATATATTTTTTCAAATAAAATATTAATCTGAATATCCGTAATTCATCTACTTTGAATACAAGATGTATTTTTGTATGTAGTATGCTCCCATTAATTAAAGGGGGTTTTTATTTTGGATCACATCCCAAAAGGTGTCACTTTGATAATTTAAAAAAATCCCTACCCAAAAATCATTCACCCTTGAAAACTTTTATTTTAACATTTTCAATCACCATTTGGGTTTGAAAAAACAACTGACATTTTAAAATTTTTGGGTTACTTTGATTGTATGGGTTAAAAGTCCTGTGGATAATAAATCTTTATTTCCTCTAATCCTTTGATCTCACATGTCTTTAAGCTGCTCGACAATCTGACAATTTTGTGGCTTTTATAGAAGCAAACTAACAACGTACCATCTTCCATCTCCTGTATTCCTTTAGGCCGTTTACATCCTTGATCTTGGAATCTTTGGACAACATTACCTTGCCAGTCTATCTTTATACACTTGCTATCGTCATCACTATTGTAATCAGACACATACAAGAACTTTTCATCACTGCTGATTAAGATCTTCTCAGGTCCATCAAATAATCGAGGAGTATCAAACACTTGTTTGATTTTTCCGTCTAAATCTAGAACAACTAGCTTTCCTGGATCATAATTACAGCCTACTACTAGCTTGTCCTGACAATAGCCTACACAATAACAGCTCTCTCCGACATCTATACAACGATCTAAAGACAAACTTGTATCGGTATAAGACAATATCTGGATACAATTTTCATCAAGTAATGCAACAGCAAGTTTATTTTGCGGAAGTTTTATCACATCATTTGGAGCTGTAGACAGGGTTTTCTCTGACACCAGCGTTCCTGTGTCAATATTAATCATTTTAATTTTCATATTGCCATAATCAGCGACGATCATTTGTGTGACAGAAATCATAACAGTCCCAGTCACATCACTTCGTTGTACGTCAGTGGGAAATTTCACGTCGATGGATCTTTCATATGTAACACATAATCCAGTATCTGATGATGGTTTTCCGTATGTTAAAATTTTTCCAAAATTGTTCCCACTTTTCAATTGATTAAGTAGATTTTCGTTCCGGTCAAACTGAATGTCGTCATATGTCGTATTATCGTTGATAATCTGTATTTCTTCATTTTCCAGTGTCATGATCCGAGGTATGATGTTCTTCATTTCAATAAAAAGCTTATTTTGCTTGTTTGTTTTACTCAGGTCATTTAGAAATGATTGTGAACGTTTCACTTCTTCGGCTATTTTTTCGTAAGCATCCTTGATATTTTCAAGTTTATGGTTTGCTGTGTTAATTACAGTTTCAGCTTCTTTAATAATGATCGATTCCATCTGATCTAAACGGTCGTTAATTTCCTTCCTAAACAGTTGTATGTCTTCAATGACTTTTCCATGACTTTGTTCTAGTTGTGTTGTAGCAGCTGCAGCTTTCATAATGTTATATTCACTTTTCTTGATTAAAACTTCCATCTTTTTATTCAAATCCATCAAGTCGTCAGATACATTTCCTGACACTTCAGGAATATAATCTACTTTACATTGTTTGTGTTCAAGCGTTACACAGACATAACATGCTACAGTTTTGTGATGGTTACAATAGAACTCCAGTGGTTTTTCCCTATGGTTGGTACACTTGTCAGTAATGACGTCTGTATTTACGTCATCAACGGTCGTTTGTTTGTCGGCATGGCATCTTTTTCAAGCAGCACGTGGTTTCTAGATGGTCTTGACCTTCTGTGATGTTTAAAACAACTTTTGCAAAGATGTTTCTGGCAGTCCTGACAAAATCCATGAGCCGGCTTCTTTAATCCATCTGTATCACACGGAATACAGTACAGGTTAAAGTTCGTCTTTGATGTTGAAGTTACCTTTCCAGGCACCTCCATTTTCTAAAATAATGAGAAATAACTAATCAAATTCCCGCCGACCACATATTAAAGTTCTGAACGAAATGATGTAAAATAAATCTACAAGTACAATAACATCACATTTGAAATTTTTGTGTTATTTTTAGCTAACAATTTCGTATAACTTAATTTTAGGAGAAGAACTTTATGTTTTGAGAAGAATTTCATAAGATGCCTTGTCTTTTGTTCTAAATTATTATTCTATTTTGTAAGAATATTTGAAATGTTTTGTGTATATATATATATACCTCAATATACATGTCTCAACCTATCTCAAAATAATAAGTCTGCAAGCTTAAACATGTCACATATTTATCAGCTAGTATCCTATTTGTATACTATTATAACGTTAAACATTATAGCATTGTATACCTTTTTATCATTCATTTTGATATGTCATAAACGTTGATTTAGTAAAACATGTAATTAAACTGTTTCTCAATAACGTTCCTCTTTTGTTTATTCTATGAAAAGAAAGATAACTCACGTGATCTGATTTAAAGTGTTCAGTTGTTTCAAGATATAACATAAAAGTGTCTTTTAATTGTTAATAATGATCATGTCACTATTTATCTTCACTAGTCACTAATTCTTAAACATTTATATTTTCCAATATTATTACAATACTGAAAATTATATTTCTGTCAGTTCGTCTCTACCTGAACTTTTGAACGCGGAAGTTTAAATTCTAGTACGCATGGGACGTAATGTTTGTCTTTCATTGATGACACAGTGAGATTATCGCCCTTAAAAGTAGTTATTGGCGTCCGCGCCGAAGCGCGGCGCTCTTATGGAATGAGATCAGATTTTGTGAAAGGGCGACAGCAACTTCTCGAGCCTTTTAGTCGGTCATAATAAAAGCCGAAAATTCCGATCGGTATGAGGGTGCTTGATTATTAATTAAGAATGAAATGTCGCGATATGTTACAATGAATTTTCGCAATGCAAACATTTACAAATGAAATAACCTTTTCCGTCAATAAATCGTGCTCTTCGGGGTTTTTTATTTATCATTTTGTAGTACACAGTCGGTTATCATGGTATGTTATTGTTGTACATGTATCCTAGAATGATCAGTTGATGACCTAAATATTCCAAAAACCTATTTATAGATATATCTTTTTATCACTCCTATCGGTAAATGCCGGTCTCTCCCGGTCTATTTTGACCAGGATTTACTAGTGACCGGCGAATAGTACCACACGTTTATTGTCCGGTCTCTCCCGGTTTTGGAGTAGATGTTTGATATCGTTACAATTAGAAAAAAAAACAACAATAGCATGTTTCATTTTATCTATATGAGATAAAAACAATAAATATGTACACGGATTTATATGTAATATAAATCCGTGATATGTACAATAATTGAGAAAAAGGTACATTTTTATGGTATTAAAATGACATTATTAACTTTGAAACATTTTATTTAATTATTTAATTTGTTATCCGTGTTTAGTAAATATGCCGAGGAATTATTCAAAGTTACAAATTAGATTTTATGAATTATTCAATTGATCGATAATTTAAAAAATGATAAAGAAAAATACAATGTACATGTTTTAAGAATAAACAATATTATATATTGAAAGATAAACCATAATTTACTGACTTTTTCCAGTTAAGCTTTGACTTATAATCGTCGGTCAATATGACAATTGAATTCTTAAAATTTATTTTACAATTTTAATAAAAACGAGTAGTAAAAACTCAGTATTAAAATAGCACATAAAACACAAAAAAGAATGAAAGAAAACAATATTCATAAAATTTGTATTTTTTTTTAATTAAAATAAATAGATATTACAATTATTGTATAATAAACAATTATGCTCAACATGATCAACATGGTAATATAACCAGTGTCATATTTTTACTAACTTAAAGTGTGAACAGATACCTTAAGGGGGTCTTCGCTAATAGCGATAACATAATAAGGGACAAATGTGTGGTACGTGTTGATCATGCGTTACACATATGGATTATAAATGATTGCATACATGTATATCCGTTGCTATTAATAACCACGATCATAAAGAAATAACAAGTAATATTCTAATCTCTAGCATGCCAATCAAAGCTCATAATGAACAATGTCTTTCGTCCGCTCATTCATAAGTGGTATACATTTCTGGTAGTTTATAAGAATATCTTGTCATCATATGTGTACTAGTTCATCTTCACTTGCTGCATTTCTTGCTTGGACGCCCTTTGATGCTTTGCATCAATGCTTTTCTTGTTCTATCCTAATACAAGAAAAGCATTGATGCAAAGCATCAAAGGGCGACGCCAAAAGAATTTGATCCAGGTTTGCACCTAAATACTTAACAAAAGATGTGTACTTTATAGCAGTACCATTTCATGTGACCTGGAGGATAGGCCCAGTTTAAGTTGAAACTTAAACCAAAAAGAAAAGACTCTGTCTTGCCAAGATGCAAAGACAATTTATAGTCAATTAACTAATCTTACTATTTATTTTACCAAATACAAGGATACCGGAGTCATCATCATATAATCACAGGCACGAGTATCGGACCTGGGAAGAAAAAGTATGACCAGATTGATAAAAAAACTGTGTTCATCTTAAAAGTGTCAAAAACCAAAAAAAAAATGTAAATAATGACCCCCTTTAAAAATATACTATTAACTTAAAGTATATTTTTAAAGGGGGTCATTATTTACATTTTTTTTGGTTTGTGACAATTTTAAGATGAACAAAAGTTTTTTTATCAATCTGGTCTTTTTTTTTCTTCCCAGGTCTGATACTTGTGCCTGTGCATATAATAAAAGCTTATTGCTTAGGTTGCAGACATGTCATTGACATATATTAGACATAAAAGAGGACCTAAAATGAACATCAGGGGGACACCATAGGTACTCAGAGCAGTAGTAGAAGGAGTACCAGCCACATCAACCAGCTGCTATCAGAGATAAGACTTGAAGCATGTAAGAATGTCATTACATATGGCAGATACTTCAAGTTCCATGAAGAAGAAGAAAAATAACTTCTTCATATGCAGTATAGTGTGATCAACTGTATCAAATGCTTTTTGTAGATCTAAAAGTATCATGCAATACTGCCTTTGTCCATTTCAAATAAAATACAATCTATTAAATGAGTCAAACATGTGTCAGTTGAAAACCCACTTCTAAACCCTGACTTAAACTGCCTGACCATGACTCGAACCCATGACTTTCAGAAGACCAACTGAGCTTTCCGGCCGGCTACACATTTTCTCTTTAATAATGAAATAGTTCTAAACCACAACATATTTCTCCACTCTATTGGTTTATGTCCTTGAATTTCTGATGTTTACAGAGCATAGTGAATTAAACTCATGGTTATATGCAGTCACTGAATGAGAAATCTTTCAGCTTGACCAGAACTCAAACCTGTGTCCCACAGAATAATGTACCGCGGCTATAAGAGATTGAACTATCTGGCCGCTTACACATTTTCTGGCCTAAATAGTGAACAGTTCTAAACCGTGACTGATATTTAGATTTTTAAATTAACAGATAAATAATTCTTAATTAATAAATAAGAAATAAAAACCTTACATACTCATTGTCTAAATTAAAATAACAATTTATATATTATGTATAATTATTTTTACTAAAAAGGGCTTAGACAATAAACTATTGGTTGTGCCATTATTTATAACAGGTCAATTTGAAAGTGAACATAATTGTGCTAATACATGTACAATATCTATTTTTTGTACTGATAAAAAACTAACCCTTTTTCTATGGTAAGAAATTTTATGAAGGCTGATTTGTATTTTGCATCAAGGGCACTGGGCGAAAACATGAAAATGCAACAAACACACCACTTTGTGTCTGGCGCCCGGTTACTTCTTTGTACTTTGTTGGTTTTCATGTGGCAAAAATCACCTGCTATAAAATTTAGTGTACAAATTTATTCAAGGGCAAGTAACAATCTACTCTATGAAAAGTCTGTTGTCGGGTTGACTCAGGAGACCTAAGCTTGGAAATTGAGACCGGTGTCCCTCCATTACAAATAGATAAGACAGAAGCTGTCCTTTTCAATCTATAAACATGTTAGAAAAAAATTAGAATAACCATTCAAAATATGATTTTTTGAGACTTTATCAATTATATTGCTTGATCCAAGTTTCAGGACATTTTCAATCAATACATGTATTATCATTTATAACTTTAAATGAAAGTCTCATCCCTTTAATAATAATGACATAACTGTAACTCTTTAAATTCAGAAATATTATAAGTCTCATCATATCAATATACTAAGATATACATGTATGCACATAACATTAATAATTCCCAGTTTCTATTAAATAAATATGAAATCCTAACATTAACATTGGTACTAATGGATGGAATTCAAAATCTAGTAGAATATATAAACTCTGTTATAGATACTATTATTAGCCAGCTAACACTGGGTATAAACAACTATAACCTGTAGACTGATCAATACATGTATTATCATTTATAAATTTAAATGCAAGTCTCATCCATCATAACTGTAAGTCTTTAAATACAGAAATACACATTATATCCATATACTATGATACACTTGTATGCACATTACATTAATAATTCTCAGGTTCCATTAAAAATGAATATAACATCCTATTGACAGGAATTCATAATCTTGTAGAAAGAAAACTATAAAGTACAAAAATGTACATGATATTGTATAGTATAAAAGTAAAAAAAATCTCAAATAGTCTGTATCATGTGATACAGATTAAGTTGTGTTAGTGTCTAAACATTAAATGCATATCTCTTACAGTAACAAATACTGTCCCTCTTTTAACCTTCCATTAGACTTTACTATACAATGTATAACTAACTGCATATAATGTAATCAAGTGTTTAAAATGAGCACCTATATGTGTAGCTTAAATATTCTACCTTTCATTTTTACCAAAGGTTATTTTAGTAACAATTCATATACAAACACATAGAAAATAATAATTTCACATAGTGATTAGAAGATGCCTCTAGCAGAATACCTATAGGTATGTACCAACTGAACAAACTAGAAAAATCTGGTCTAGGGTATATCAAGCCAGTAAAAATATATATCAATATTCACTCATCAGGGCCTCTCTGCTTTTGATGACCTTACAACTGGTAAAAAACAAAAAATAGTAAGTAATACTAAAGATAGAGTAGACAGAGTAGACAGAAAAGAACAAATAATTTAGTAAACATGAGTTACTTCCCCTTAAAAGAGAGAAAACCTGAAACCCAAAAGAACACCCTAAACATTAAAATTACGAAATGTTGCAGGCTCAGTCAGTTTTATTAAGCCATGCAAATTAATGGTAAAGTATTCATAAAAAATAGATGACCATGTGACAGCAGTTATTGCAGAAAATCGGATAGCTTTCAACATCCGGATACTGGTACACTTTGTAAAAACAACCATTCTGTTCAACAGATAAACGTAATATGGATAAAATCAATAGGATAATCGTTAACAACAGTCCATTACCTTACCTTATACTCATTTGCAGGTGAACTTTTTTCTTGTAAGAAAATTTTGAAAATATATAAATGAATGAACGAAATGGATACGGCATCAATGTAGACTACAACGATATTCGAAATCCGGGTTTTAGTATTGTCAATAAAACTAAGGGACAAGCTGTTAAACTGAGCCTGCAATTTCGTGAAAATAATATCACAATGCACATGCTTTTAATATAAAGTTATTAAATACAAATATAACAACATATTTGTTTACTTGATTTTTACGAATCTAAATAAATCTAATTAACTCAACATGAAATTAACTGCTAATAATAACAGCTCCTTCCATAGGCAAAAATAAAAAGCGTTCCATATAAGACGACGCCGCTCACCGGCGTCGCCAACAATGTTGCAAGAAAAAAAAAAAAAAAAAAAAAAAAAAAATTAAAAAATTAATGAACATGTTTTGTAACGTTTACAAAATGATTAACTATTTAAAACAAAACGTGTCATCATTTTATTGATCTATTCAGGAACGTTTATATAAACATGTTTATAAAACACATAATGAACTAATTGCCAGAAAGCATCATGCAGAAGCTTCCAGATTTGTTTAGGTAATTTGCCAGTGCCTAACCTTTTGGAAACTAAAGCGGGACACCAAATACCAAAGACCTTTTGAGAAATAAGAATAAAAGCATTTCAGAGGCAATCTATAATTATATAAGTTTTCATAAAACTGGTTGGAGATATATAATCGCTCCTAGGTTTGTGTTGTTAAGTGTATATAAGATGAATTATTGATAACAGAAGTCATTTTGCGGAACTTCAATTCGTATAATGTGTAGAAAATAAATATTCTGGTTTTAATCCCAATAACTAAAGAGAATAAATATATTACTTCTTAATGTGCATTGACACTCATGCCGATAAATTAGAGCCAAATCAAATTTCATTAATCGTGATCTTGATATAATTTGATTAGTGCTTACTTTATTTTGATTATTTGTCAAAAGGAAAACCCTAGATTGTCTGTTTCAATTTTGTGAATATAAGTACATGTAGTTAAGTTATCATTCTTGTGTGCTGCACTCCTCCTCAATGAGATCTATCCACCTATGAAGTTTCAAGTTGATATCTCAAAGGTTTTTATAGTTATGCTCTGGACAAAAATTAAGCATGAAAAATAACAAAGGGCAATAACTGAAAATTATGCAGGGTAGAGTTATCATTCTTGTTTGCTGCACTCCTCCTCAATATGATCTATCCACCTATGAAGTTTCAAGTTGATAACTCAAACACTTTGAGATATGCTCCGGACAAAAAGTATGAAAAATAACAAAGGGCAATAACTCAAAAATTAGAATGGGGAGAGTTATCTTTCTTGTGCTCAACATTCCTCCTCAATAAGATCTATCCACCTATGAAGGTTCGTTGACATCTCAAAGACTTTTTGAGTTATGCGTCACTCGGGAAAAAATTAAGTATGAAAAATAACAAAGGGCAATAACTCAAAAATTATGAAAGGTAGAGTTATCATTCTTGTGCACTGCACACCTCCTGAGTGAGATCTATCCACCTATGAAGTTTCATGTTGATATCTCATAAGCTTTCTGTGTTATGCTCTGGACAAAAATTAAGTTTGGTTTGAAAAATAACGAAGGGCAATAACTCAAAAAATATGCAGGGTAGAGTTATCATTCTTGTGCACTGCACTCCTCCTCATTGAGATCTATCCACCTATGAAGTTTCAAGTTGATAAATCAAATACTTTTTGAGATATGCTCCGAACAAAAAATGTCGGACGGAAGGACGAACGGACGGAAGGACGGACGGACGGAGACTATTTCTATATCCGCCGCCGCCTTTCGGCGAGGGATAATAACTACTCCGTTTTTAGCTCAACTATTTGAAGGATATGGAGAGCTATCGTACTTAACCAGACGTTGGCGTCACTGTCACTGTTTGATTAGGTTTCTGTATGCAAGTTCATATACATGTATTTCCAAAACTACCGAAGGGAAACTTTCTATACTTGTTTGAGAGCATAATAGGTCACTTTTCCAGGCTCATAACTCTAACAAGAATTTTGACAAAATAATGGCCCTTTATGAACTTAGAAAATTCTACATTATCTAAGTTCTTGTTTTACTATCAAACACTCGAGCATGCTGTGCTACTGACAGCTCTTGTTGCTTAATGAAATGGAGAATTATCTAAAGTACAAAAACTATTTTCTGTCAATAGTCAATAGTTAAAAAAGGCAAGTTCACCTTGAAAAGGCTGTGCAATACCAAACCTAAGTAATGTATATATAAATGTATAGCGAATGTGGCCACCATGATTTACAGTATTTGTCTTTAAAGGGACTCCACTGAGGTTTTTTGACATGATGGGACTGAAAATATTTTTTCAAGATAATTGTACCATTCGATTAAGGTTTAGACCACTAATCTTTGTGCAAAATTTCAGATCATTCGCGCACTGCGCGCGTCCAGATTTATTATTTAAATTGTAAAAAAATGACCCAAAATGAAAAGCGTTTAAACGCTTTTCACTCAAATCGGGCTAAAAAAAGCATAAAAATACGATTTTCAATTTATTTCAAAATATTATATTTCTTAAGTATCTTTGCATATATTTCTGTTTAAAGTGCCCCAGCTCATTTATGTAAGAAATTCAAATGTTATGATTTTAGGCTTTCAAACCTCAGTGGAGTCCCTTTGAAATTTAAAACGAAGACAAAAAATAAATAAAAACAGACTACAATGTTTTTAAGTATTATCTTTATGAATAATGCCAGAGTTGTTTATGTCACTTTCACCGCTAAACTTTTGTCGCTCCCTGATGTGACTCTGGCCGGTATCTTCTCAGTTTTTAAGTTGGAAAACTGCCATTAGGCCATTACACTGTCTATGCAAATAGAAACAAAAAAAGGAGAAAAATCCTGGCTTAACTATCACTGAGTGTTTATACAATATACACAACTTTAATATGTGTATAAGGATTATTTACCAGTGTCTCTTTGTTATCAGCAAGCTTTTTCATAGACTTTGTCCAATGAATGACTTTTCGAGATCCTTATTTTGACCTTTTCAACATAAAAAGCGGTAAATGACAGATAGATTAGATCAACAATTACAGCAGTGTTAATGAGGTTGGCCATTCCACATTCCCATTGGATATAAAAGTCAATTTAAATATTTCCAAGTGTTATAGGTCACGCCTCATATTTCTTCAAGACTAGATATCTCATTACTGTTTCATAAGGGCTAAGAAAATAAACTTTGGCTTAGGAAAAGCACAACGAAACACAAAGGATTATCAAAGATTTACAGAGAATCATAAAAGAAAACCTGTTAACAAGCATCACCTCAGCGCCTATGAAATCAGTTATATACGATCATTTTTCATTGTTATATAGACATAAAAGAGATTTCTAGCTACTTAGCGATTAAGGACTTGAGCTTGCGCGTGTCTTATATTGTTGAAAATAATTTTCTGGTAAAAGGTAAAAATCTCTTCCAATTTTAAGATCAAGTACGTAACTTGTGCAAAAATTTGATTAAAATTTTAATCTTTTTAAAATAAAATTATTAAAATTTGTTTAAAATCGTCTTTTCTAAAGTTTTAAAGCAATTGTTTTTATATGTCAAAAGTATACCTTTAAAAGTTAGCACCAATTGCAAAAGTATTGAAAGCTACACGTACTACACATTAGAGTATGATACCATGTGCATTAGTACAAAACTTTAAGCAGTGGGTATTTTTTACAATACAAGTTTGAAGTTTTTCAATTTTTGAATAAAATCGCTTGGTACAGATGAGCTAACATTTGGCTTTCTAAAGGCGCAAATATAACACGATATATCAGAAAATGGGGACAAATCTGATATCAAATTGTAACAACTGAAAATGGAATTTACCCATACATTTTGTAAAATATTCAATTTAAATTTAACATTCATGGTACATAGCATAGGTTATCTTTAGGGTCAGCTGTAAGTCAATTAAATTTATAAGCTGGAGTAAATTCTGCTGCAGTTAAGTCATAGTTCTACAGGATATTTCAGGGGAAAATACACTGATTTTTGGGTAGGGAAAACAGCCTTTATTCGGTTTCCGCTATCCTCATTTTACAAACCACAAAATTTTGTATCGCGAAAAAGGCCTCACAGATGTCTTTTCTTTTCTTAGATGACGAGATTATAGTTGTAATCAACTCGAGAAATATAAATATGTATCTCGTTTTTATTCCTTGTAAAGTTTTGTGAGCAAAGCATTAAGAGGTGAGAAAAAATTATGGATCTGAGAATTTTCAAACGGCATTAAAAACTAAAATTATACAAAATGTATTAGACGATGATTTGTAAAGACTCTGTTATAGAATTAATTGGTGAAGTCTTAAAGATTCAAACTATTAGAAATTTTCATTTTAGAGAACATAACTTGAGGCGAAAATGACAATAATTTATATCTTTATAAAATTTTTACTTCCGATTTTCTACAACGATCAATTGTTTTAAAACTTTATTTTTATTGTAATTTCTTTGAATTTGATTGTATATACGTGTTTATGTGTTATAATTATGGGCTCTGTATACCACACAATGAAACAGAATAATCGAATAACCTGGGATGTTTATATCATTTAAACCATATGTGACATGTTGCAAAGTACTAATATTGTTTTCAAAATCACCGATAAAATCACCCTGAATCATTTAGTAATTATAACAATTGTCTTACTACTTATGTATTAAAATATTCTTTTTCCATTTTTATCATGGGATAGAAAGACGTACAACATTTGTTTATTATATTTAAGTATGAGTCAGCTTTATAATATTTTATTTACAAACAAAACAAGGCATATAGGTATCCCTACACGTCTTAAGAGCAGAAGTATCAATTAAATTCAAATTGGAGACGGCAAGTAAATAAGTAATTGGAATGTCTGAATAAAAGGCTGCTCCTTAACATGGTTTATAAATGGTGATCATTATTTATGAAAAATTCTATCTACTTTCATTATATATTTTTTCTAATAAAATCTTAATCTGAATATCTATATTTCATTCACTTTGATTACAAGATGTGTTTTTGTATTTACTATATATTCTGTTTTTACTATGATTATTGGTAGTTTACTGTGTCTATCATTGAATGATCACATTCAATGTGTCATATAACATTACATATTCACATTCAAAACATACCAATAATCTATCTCACATTGAACACTTTTATTGTATCATTTAAACCACACCGCTGCTCAGACGAACAACTGACATATAATTTGTGATTTATTTTACTGTATGTTACAGTCTGTGGATAATTAATGTTTATTTCCTCTAATCCTTTGATCTCACATGTCTTGAAGCTGCTCGACAATCTGACAATTTTGTGGCTTTTATAGAAGCAAACTAACAACGTACCATCTTCCATCTCCTGTATTCCTTTAGGCCATTTACATCCTTGATCGTGGAATCTTTGAACAACATTACCTTGCAAGTCTATCTTTATACACTTGCTATGTTCTTTACTAATGTAATCAGATACAAACAAAGACTTTTCATCACTGCTGATAAAAATCTTTTCAGGTCCATCAAACAATCGAGGAGTATCAAACACTTGTTTGATTTTTCCGTCTAAATCTAGAATAACTAGCTTTCCATGAATAGAGAGACAGCCTACAACTAGATTACCCTGACAATAACCTACACAATAACACATTTCTCCGACATCTATACGACGATTTAAAGACAAACTCGTATCTGTATAAGTCAATATCTGGATACAATTTTCATCAAGTAATGCAACAGCAAGTTTATTTTGCGGAAGTTTTATCACATCTATTGGACCTGAAGACAGCGTTTTCTCTGATACCAGCGTTCCTGTATCAATTTTAATCATTTTAATTTTCTCATTATTAAAATCAGCGACGATCATTTGTGTGACAGAAATCATTACAGTCCCAGTCACATCACTTCGTTCTACGTCAGTGGGAAATTTCACGTTGATGGATCTTTCATATGTAACACATAATTCAGTATCTGCTGATGGTTTTCCGAATGTTAAAATTTTTCCAAAATTGTTCTCACTTTTCAATTGATTAAGTATATTTTCGTTCCGGTCAAACTGAATGTCGTCATATGTCATATTATCTTTGACAACCTGTATTTCTTCATTTTCCAGTGTCATGATACGAGGTGTGATGTTCTTCATTTCAATAAAAAGCTTATTCTGCTTGTTTGTTTTATTCAGGTCATTTAGAAATGACTGTGAACGTTTCACTTCCTCGGCTATTTTTTCGTAAGCATCCTTGATATTCTTGAGTTTATATTTTGCTGTGTTAATAACAGTTTCAGCTTCTTTAATAATGATTGATTCCATCTGATCTAAACGGTCGTTTATTTCCTTCCTAAACAGCTGTATGTCTTCAATGACTTTTCCATGACTTTTTTCTAGTTGTTTTGTAGCAGCTGCAGCCTTAATTATGTTATATTCACTTTTCTTGACCAAAACTTCTATCTTTTTGTTCAAATCCATCAACTCGTCAGATACATTTCCTGACACTTCAGGAATATAATCTACTTTACATTGTTTGTGTTCAAGCGTGACACAGACATAACATGCTACAGTTTTGTGATTGTTACAAAAGAACTCCAGTGGTTTATCCCTGTGGTTGGTACAGTTGTCATTAGTGACGTCTGAATTGATGTCGTCAACGCTCGTTTGTTGTGTTGGCATGGCATCTTTTTCAAGCAGTACGTGGTTTCTAGATGGCCTTGACCTTCTATGATGTTGAAAGCAACTTTTGCAAAGATGTTCTTGGCAGTCCTGACAAAATGCGTGAGCCGGCTCATTTAATCCATCTGTATCACACGGAATACAGTACAGGTTAAAGTTCGTCTTTGATGTTGAAGTTACCTTTCCCGATACCTCCATTTTCTAAAAAAATGAGAAATTGCTAATCAAATTCCTGCCGACCACATATTAAAGTTCTGAACGAAATGATGTCAAATAAATCTACAACTACAATAACATGAGCAAATTTGAAATATTTGCGATATATCAAATTATTAATTTTACATGCCTTAATTCTAGGAGAATTAAGAAGATTTTTTAAGAAACCATGTCTTATTCAATTCATTCTTTATTGTAACCCCATTTTGTAAGAATATTTGAAATGTATATCCATTTCGCAAGCTTAAACACGTCGCATATTTATCAGCTAGTGTCCACTAGTGTATTAACTATAACGTTAAACATTATACCTTTTAATTCATTCATGTTTGATATCATATTGAACTTTCATTGTAATCTTAAATCTAGTAATAATTAAATTGTTTCTCAAGTAACGTTTTTTTTGTTTTACGACAAAAATAAGTCACGTGATCTGCTTTATATTGTTCAGTTGTTTCAAGATATCACATAAAACGTATCTTTTATTTATTGTTAATAATGATCATGTAACTATTTATCTATTCTAATCAACTCACCGTTCCGAAACATGTATATTTTCCAATAGTATTATATACTGAACTATTATATTATTATCGTTCCGTTTCTGAACGCGGAAGTTTAAATTCAAGTACACAGGGGGCGTAATGTTTGTCTTTCATGACACAGTGAGATTATCGCCCTTAAAAGTATAAGAAAAGATTAACTATTCAAACTTCATGTTATTGATCTTATAAATATATGTTTATAATACACATTACGCACTAATTGCCAGAAAGCATCAGAAGCCTCAAGATTTGTTTAGGTAATTCGCCAGTGAGTAACTATTTGGAAACAGCGGGACACCAGACATAAAAAACGTTTGAGAAATAAAGATAAAACATAAAACATAAATGACCACTCCTAGGTTTGTACGTGTTGTTTAGTGTATATGAGATGAATTATTGATAACAAGACACTTTTCAAACTTCAATTAATATGATGCGTAGCGGAAAAAAAATCTGGTTTTAATCTCAATAATACCTCGACTTTAACTAGAGAGAATAAATATATTACTTCCTAATATGCATTGACACTCATGCCGATAATTTAGCGGCAAATCAGATTTTATTAATCGTGATCTTGACACAATGTCATTAGTGCTTTCTTTATTTTGATTATTTGTCAAAAGGAAAATCCTAGATTGTCTGTTTCATATGTGATTATAAGTAGTTAAGTATTTGATGTTTTCGTTTATGATAATTATGAATTAGAAGAATTAGGGATATGTCCGATACAAAATTATTATCAAAATTAAGTAAGATAATTCATTAACTCTTGGCACAGTTGATTTAACATTCTCAAAACGAATCTTCAATTATCGATAAAAGTTTGTATCTATGTTTTATCCGTTTCAGAAAATGATGAAACCATTTAGCTTAAGTTAATACTACTCTCACCTCCATCTCACCTGTTTTGCTTAAATTAACATTTATATATATCTAGTGTTTAAAATTAAAAAAAACTGACAAATACATTTAATAATATCAATTGGACAATCAAAGCTTATATATTATCTGACTGCTGTTTATATGATTGTTAAATATTTGAATCACAAATAAGAATTGAGCATCGTTAAATAAGTTGAAAATTATTGATAATTGGCAGGTTATATTTCAAATATTCATAACCGGTGTACAGATTGTATAACCACCAAAATTAGAACCGTTAAAAAGGGTGCTTATTTCTAAATCCAACTTGCTGAGGTTTTTGTATGTTTTCACATGATGGAGTTTCTTTTGAAATCATATTTCCTATGTTTTTATATATAACAGTGGGGTTGTGATCTACAGAAAGAACATGAGAAGTATCTGGTGAAACATTGCAACAATGTTCCTGTATTTGTTACCGATTTCCCAGCCTCCCTCAAACCATTTTATGCTAGAAGAAACAGCGTGGAAAATACAGTGAATTTAACTATAGATACTACTGTGTTGAAATTACTTGTAGAGTACAGAAATTTGTGAGGTAATTAATAAATATATACCCAAGAACAAATATGAAGAGCTTTGGCCGTCTGCTTTTTATCCCTGGAATCATTGGGTTTTATCCCTGCTGGGGGTCACAACAATGTTTCCTCATATGACATCAGTACTAGTCTTAAGAGTGGTACAAATAAATTTAAAGATTTTTTTTCACAATCAAACCTGAAGTAATTTTTGTTAACTAAAAAACAAACACTTAAAAACCAAATTGTTCATCTGCGACCCTTTCATTATGCTCCCCCCCTGAAAAACATTTTTCAAGGCAATATTTTGCCATTGGTTTTTTGTTGGTCCTGCTGTAACAATATTATTTCTACTTTAACACTTACTGTTTTTTCATGTCAGTTATGTTTGTTACTGTTTTTGGTGTCAATATATTTATTGACTAATATATGTATATTAGATATTTGGTAATTATGTACCCTGTTTAGACTTCTATTTTTAGATGAGATTTGAAGTTTTTTTGGTCAAAATGAAGGTTATCAAAGATAAAACATATTTGTCTAAATAGGCCACACATATTCATATTTTTATGCAAGTTTATAGAGTTGTGACTTAAAAGAAAACAAAATAGCAGTGCACATTTTTAAATCTTGAAAATTATGTTATAAGAAAACAAATGATTTAGTTATAAATATATGCTGGTCCATCTGGCCAAGTGGTTAGGGTCTTCCAATCATTTGTTGCATAATAATTATATCAGTATGAGTCCGTGGCAGTAATTTCTGTACAAGACTTACTGTCTACCCAGGTGGCATCTTATGATTTCCTTTCTAATTCATACAATCTCGTGGGGAAGTTGTAATATGACCATTTAAGTGCTGTTAAATATAATTATGAAACTAACAAATAAATATTTAACATATTGATGTTAACACAGGTAGCTGCTGTAGATTTACTGGTACCGGAAGTTGGTGAGTGTTTGGAGGGAGTCTTAGAGAAGAAAGATATGACATACTCAATTCAAGATTAGATGATCTTCAGTTAACAGAATCTTACCAATGGTGAATATTTTTTGTCAAACTTTGCGCGTCATGCTAATAGGTCAAACTAAAAAATCTAATGTTTGGACAAAAAGTTAATTTTAACACATAACAACTTCAAATTTCAACTCGGTTATTGGCATATCGCTTACAAAAGTTTTTCCATGACTGTAAGTTTTATTACATTTTCACTGAATCAGCTCTGCTTTGCTATTCCAATTGCTTTCAACAGTACTTTTTCATTTATCAATCATGAAAGTATATAAAAAATTAATATGACTTACATAATTATACAGTCCGATCATTGCCATCAAAATATATCTTGTGCAATGAACATTTATTCTAGATCATTGTCATAAAAATATTTCATGTGTAATTAACATTTTTTTAGGGACATAAAAATCTATCTTGTGTAGTTCACATTTATTCTTCATAAGACTTTTTTTTGAGGACCCAACTTGGCAACCCTATAATAGGTATGAGGGTTTAGGGTCATACACCATTCACACCTTACATCTACTTTATACACATAGGTTAATTTAAATAATAATTATAAAGTTTGACAAATGTTTTGTATATATTCAGGTATCTTGATTTAAGAAGATACGGCAGTGTAACACATGGTGGATTTGGAATTAATTTAAGTTACATTATCATATTAACTTACTATGGACATGGTAAACTGCCTGCAATTAATATTTACATGTGTCAGTACTGAAACATGTTATTAATTATTTAATGTATAATACGCTAGATCTGTAAAATATAAGTATGTTCAAATCGTTTGCCTTGGCTCCTGTCAGGTGTCATAAGCTGAAACTGGAATAGATTCCTCTGAAGTTATTGAATGATCTTCAATAAATTAAGTGTGTAACAATCATTGATTATTTTTTGTATCAATCTTTGTTGTTAACGCATTATTATAACAATCGTGTTACAAAAAATCTAGTAAATATATGTATTGTTTTTAACTTTATTTCAAAATATTGAAAGATGTTAATTCATAGATGTAGTGTGTCAAATGATTTTCCAAGTTAATTTTCAAATTGAAATCTTAATTGTTGATTATTGCAATTAAATTTGTATATGTTTACGAAAGTTATATATGCAGAGACTACATAGTGTTGTATTGAATCTCATTTTATGTTCAAACTTAAGATAAATAAGATAAATAATTATATACATGATATGCAGAAATATATATGTAATATGTTTTCATTTTTAAACTTCGCTTCAAAAGGAAAGTGGTATTAGTTTAGTTGAAACATGATCGATTGTACTGAAAATTTCAAGCTTTAAAAATATTTCAACCTATT